AAAGATAGTGGAAAACCAAGTAATAAGTGTAGTAATATATTTAAGCTTTTAGTAAATACTCAATATAATGATAAGAATTAAAGTATTTTGAATAAAGCTAAGAATGAAGCTAGTATAAAAGAGCTACTACTTCTATTATGAAAGCATAAAAGACTATCTTAGTACTATAATAATAAGTTATAATAAACATTATCTTATTTATTTTTAATGCCTTTATTATTTTAAAACGCGCCCTACTTATTTATAATAACTAAATATAATTAATAAATCACTGATTATTATATAATTTCTTAATATAAGTACTCTATACTTAGCATAAGTACTCTATACCTAAGTACACCTATAGATAGTATAACCTAACTCTATCTCTACTTAATATTTATATAACTTAACCCTACCTCTACTTATGCTATAGTCTACTTAACTCTACCTTTACCTATAGTCTATATAACCTAACCCTACCTCTACCCTAGGTCTGTACGACCTAACTCTATCCCTACTTAACATCTGTGCGACTCTACCCTACTCTATACCTATCTTAGGAACCCTATACCCATTCGCTAGTCTACTTATTTCTTTTATTTATTTCTATTATAAAACTCTACTAGGCTTATTATATAATTTAAGCTTTTATATACTTATTATAAACATTTACGGCTTTCTTGTAAAAGGCTTTAGAGCTTGATTTAACTCTAGAATTTAACAAGTAGCATTTTTCTTTTTTTATATAGTTTTAGGCCTTTAGATATAGTAAGAACTTCTATAGTTATATATAAAGTAGCCTTAAAATATGAATTTAATGTAGCTCTTTTACTACTTTTAAATAATACTTTTAGTAAAAACTTTACTTAAGTATTGCTATATATAATAGCTATTATAAAAATAGTTAAGAATAATAAAATCTTATCGAACTGAATAATATTCTTTCAATTTTTAAGTGTCTAATTTTTATAAGTAAGATACTACTTAAGTATTTTTTATTTTATTTTTATTATTAACGTGGTCCATAAGCGAGCGGACACCTCCCCACTAGCGCGTTAACTTTAACATGTGTAACGGGCTGAACGCCCTTCGCCTCCCATACTCGTCTACGACCTCGTTTACTCCACCTGCCCGGCCTGATTGTTACCCTAGCAACCAGCATTGTATATAGATAGCTACGTAGCCGAGAGCTTAGCTCTCTATCGAATACAATCTTGTTACCTTGGCCTGTCCGATCGTGCTCCCGAGCTTAAGACTACCCTCCGGGGTCGAGCCCCTTACAACATGTTATTATAGCCTTTTATTATAACTAGTTAATAAACTATTATAATATACTAAATGAATTATTAAAATTACTATTATTACTTACACTATCTATCTTAACTACGCAGGTATAAGCGTTATGTCTGGTCTGCTTACAACACCTACACCACCGCTCTCCTTACACCCTCTTTAACGCACTCTTACTATTACTATAACTACTAAATGCTTATTTAGCTAATACTTTTTATACTTTACTTATAGTAAGAGTCTCTTCTATCTATATATATCGCTGCTTATCGCTTTTACGCTTATTTAACTTATTAAAAGCTACTTAAAGTGTACTTATTTCTTCTATTATAAGCGTTATTTTATATGCTATTTGCTAGGCCCCCTTACTTAACTATGTAATCTACTTAGTAAGTAAATTAGTAGAAGGTTTATAGCGTTGTCTTACGCTCTCTTAAATAAGACTAATTTAAGATGTAACGGGCTAGGTAGCCCGCTACAGTACAGATAGCGGTGGCTATCTTATGTATCAACTACGCAACGATATCAGCAGCTCTGATATCTTGTGCCAGCCTTTTTGGCGCGGTGGGCGCGTTGTAGTTGCGTGCGCAGTCTAATAGGACTCGACCCGTTACATAAGACTTAACTTTACACGCGTTGCGTAGTGTCTGCGCCTACTAGGCAGCTACCTATTATAGTAATTAACAAGGTGCCTGCACTACTACATTAAGCTTAGATAGCATAGCCTATAGGTCGTGTAAGACTAGACTAGCACCTCTAAAGCTAGCTTAGATATTCTCCTTTATAATAGACTACTTAAAAGCAGCCTTAAAGGCTAGTAGGAAGGTTTCCTTGCTAATATAGTAGGTATAGTTGCGTGCTAAGCCTAAAACAGCGTTGCTATACTTGCGCTTTAACAGCGAGAAGTAGGCGACGTTAAAGGGCTATAATAGGTAAGATAAGTGTAAAGGCATATAGAGAAGAATAATATTCTTCTCCTTGCAAAGATCTTAAAAATTAATAGAGTAGTAGCTCTTATAGCTATTAATAATAAGTAGTTAATACCTACTTATAGTATACCTCTTTATGTAGGTATGAAAGTGCTCTAACTAGGCAAGACTAAGCTAATTATTTATCTAGCTATTAGAACTAATTTTAAGAACTTAGTTAATAGGCAAATTCTTAAACTAGATGTTAATAAGCACCTTACTTATAAAAATAATAAAGGGTAGTATCTAGCAACCTAATGCGCCTACGCCTTAGATTATAGTAACCTACTTATAGTTGCCTAGCTATATCCACTTCCTTTTCTTATATTCTTTTAAGCTTATAATTAATAACTATAATAAAATCTTACCTATTATAAAGCTAGTTAGTTTTATTAAAGTTGTAGATCTTATTATCTATAATACCATACTTCTACTTTATCGCCTAGACTGAGTTAAACCAGCGCTAGATAGCTATTAGGTTCTTATAGGCGGCTTACTAGTAATTATAAGAATAGCTCTAGCGCGTATAGAGCTTAGTAGTCTACCTAATAAAGTTATTAACTTAGTTCTTACAAATAGAGTTGCTACTACGCTTCTCTAATAGTTTATTAGCTATTGCTTAAACCTTAGCCCTTGGAGGCGCAAATTCTTACGTAGACTTTTTAAGAATACGCCCAATAATAGCCTTCTCTTCTAGCTTATTTAAGCGCTTTAAATTTAGTTTATAGTTACGTCAAGAGTGTCTTCTAGCACGTTAGTAAAATAATGTTATTTAAAAGACGCTATAGATCTTAGTAGCATGTTTAACACTCTTTACACGTTAAAAATTAATATTAGAAATAGTAAATTAAATTTTAGCTTTAGAAAAAGTTTATTAAATTTAATATAGTTAAGACATAACGCGTTGTAGTATAAACGTTAACGCGCTAGTAGGGAGGTGTCCGCTCGCTTGGTGTGTCCGCTCGCTTATGAACCACGTTAACTTAAACTTTTTTATTAGCTTTATTTTATTATAACTAGCCACTTAAAAGACTTTTTATATAGTAGATAATAAAATATTATAGCTATAAATTCTAGGATTGCTTATAATGTTAGTATAGCTTTTCTTTCTTTTATACTTTTTATAGCGTATATGCTTAAGAGTAGTATTATATATTTCTTTTTATTTATAAAGATATCTTATATATAAGTTATCTGTTAAGTACTATAAAAAGATCTTAATTAGGCGTATATTAGGCTTCAAGTCTTACTAGTAGGCTTTACTATAAATGAAGTTAATTATACGTAGTAATTTGCTTATTATTTTTATCATTCTGCGTATAGATTTAATACTAAAAAGTAACTTTAATATAATAATAAAAAAGTAAGTTAATATATTTATATTTAGAGCTATAGTAAATTAAAAATACTTAGAAAAAATAAGTATATGAGCTATTGCTAGCTTTGAAGAATTAGTGTAGGCGCTAAGAATAGTTGGGCCGATAGGCTGGCGGCTTAGCGTGGCGCTAGCAAGAACTTTTGACAGTCACCTCCGTACAGTACATCCATACGTACACCCGCCGATCTGCCGCGAGTCGGCTTATGGACACTAATAACAGTATTTACTAACAGTCACCGTCCGCCGCACCGGGAGCCGGGTAATCCGCCTGGAGCACGCTACACGCCAGTGGTGAGTATTTGCTTGGCTCTCGCACCCTCCGAGGCGGCGGCCTTATTCTGTTTCCATCCACCCACTGGTTTCGTGGCGTTGTGGGTCCCCCGAAGCTATGGTCATGGGTTTTCATGTCCGCTCGAGGCCCCCCTCCCTTACGCCGAGGTGATGCCGGGCCGGTGTGTGTGTGTGTGGGTGTGGGTGTGGGTGTATGTGTAGGTGTGGGTGTTGTTAGCTAGCATCCGCGGGAAGGGAGCGGATGGGGGCCAGAAACAGAGGGGTGGGACTCCACTACGCCATGGTTTCCGCTAGCAGTATGGGTATATCGAAGACGGATCCCCATGGGTGTGTTCCCCAGACTGGTGGATCGCTCTGCTCGGGGTCTGGCTAAGGCCGAGGGTGCGCCCTCTACGCACATAGTAGGTAAAGGCAAGTCGGGCTCTGGAGGTCAGACCTACCTGCGGCTCTCTCTGTAAGATTACATGTGAAAACGCGTTATCTCGGGTCAGCGCGCGATATACCCATGGCAGTTATTTATTATCGTTGTCGTTCCGCGGCGTGTACATAGGGCATACCTGCGTGAGATGGGTGACGAGGCGTACCATAAGGTTTGTTGTGGACTTGGATATGCGAAACGCTTCTCTTGTAGTACATGCGGTAAAACACTGCCCATGTCGTTCTAGAAATTTTCCCAGGCCATGTATCAACCGCACACACTACTTGGGGAAATAGATATGCGCCTTGGGTAAGAGTAAGACGACGGATAGTCTTCACGACTACGTCAAGTCACAGGAATCATGCAGGTATATCAAACGGCGACATACCTTGAGCACCACTAACCGTCCGCTAAGATCAAATCCAACCGGAGCTGTCTTTCTGCTTTTAGCTAATGGCGCCGCCACGGTCTGGGTGTAGGTCAGCACAACTGACGATTTTGTGTTCGCTCGGAGCTGTCAAGTGTCGACTCTCCGTTTAAACCCGAACGTCCGATGGCGAACGGGTAAGTATACCCAAGAAGCCGAGCCTCGACGCATTTCTTAACCGTCAATCATTTCGACAACAACTCCCCTTTACTCTTCTCCAACGCCTATTTTGCCAAGCCGGGTGCAGATCTGTCGCGCCTGATGACAAGCACTTGACTTTACACCAGAGGCGATCTTAATCACCAGCAGTCGACACAATGACACAACCAGAGCAAGCAGCACCGCAACATTCCCCCACAAGGGACGAGATTATCGAGCAAGCAGCTCTGGAAGGTCACGATGCGGACATCCCAGGTAGCCTTGGCTACATAGACGAAAAGTCAGGTCAAGCCTCGGGAGTAAAAGACGAGGGGAAAGACCTCGAAAGGGGTATTGTGGGCGGGTCATCCGTATCCAGCGCGACTGAGTTAGGGCAAGAAGAAAAACAAGAGCGGGATCCCAACATTGTTGACTTTGACGGCCCGGACGATCCGGAGAACCCCCTCAACTGGCATCCGTTCAAGAAATGGGGCGCAGTGGCTCTGGTATCTGCCATCACGTTTCTCACGCCGCTTGCGAGTTCACAGTTTGCGCCTGGCGTGCCAGAACTCATGCGCGAATTCCACTCGACCAGCACAGTGCTTGCAGGCTTCGTGGTATCGGTTTATGTCCTGGGGTACGCTGTTGGACCGCTGATCATCGCGCCGCTATCTGAAATGTATGGGCGCCTGCCGCTCTACCACAGTTGCAACCTCCTTTTTGTCATCTTTACGATTGCAGCCGCCGTCGCCAAGAACATGGGCCAGTTTATAGTGTTCAGGTTCTTCATGGGATGCTTTGGAGGTGCACCTCTCGTGCTTGGCGGCGGTACAATTGCCGATTTGATTCGTAGGGAGCAGAGGGGAACCGCCATGGCTGTGTGGATGATGGGTCCTAGTAAGTTCAATAAGCGGCTCTTGTGGGAGAAGGCTTTGAGCTAATGTGTCTGACAGCCGTGGGACCTTGTGCTGGCCCCATTATTGGTGGTTTCCTTACCGTTGCCAAAGGATGGAGATGGAACTTCTGGTTCGTGGCCATAGTAGTAAGTTGCCTCTCTTCGAAAAATTTCCGTCCTGTGGGTAGAACTGACCTTGCAGGGTGGTGCCTTCTTCCTCATGTCCGTTGCCCTCATGTCCGAAACCTCTCCCATGATCATCCTCGAGCGCAAAGCCAAGCGGCTCAGAGCCTCAACCGGCAACCCCAAGCTCCGTTCCAAACTCGACAATGGCATGACTCCCAAGCAACTCCTAAAATACTCGATTGTCCGCCCAACTAAAATGATCTTTACTTCGGCAATCGTCATCGTCATCTCAGTCTACATTGCCATTGTGTACGCCTACTACTACATCCTTTTCACCACCTTCACTGGAGTATTCGAGAAGCAGTATCATTGGAAAGGCGGCGTAGTGGGCCTTTCCTACCTTGGTGTGGGCTTGGGCTCGCTCATCGGCCAAATGACCTACGTCTATTTTGGAAACAAATCGGTCAACAGACACATCAAACGTGGCGACTTTAAACCGGAGCACCGCATGCCCCTGATGTGCCTTGGCGCCTTCTTGATTCCCGCTGGTCTCTTCATGTACGGCTGGTGTGTCCAGTACAAGACGCACTGGATAGTGCCTATTATCGCAACCGGTATTACTGGTGTCGGCATCTTGTTTATGTGGATGCCGGCGACGACCTATCTCGTTGATGTGTTTACCATCCATGCTGCGAGCGCCATGGCGGCAAACACAGTGCTGAGGAGTATACTGGCGGCATTTCTCCCGTTGGCTGGTCCAGACATGTACAAGGCGATGGGATATGGGTGGGGGAACAGCTTGCTAGGGTTTGTGGCCGTGGCAATGATTCCGGTTCCGTTTGTTTTCCTCAAGTACGGCGAGAGGATTCGGTTGAACAGTAAAGTGAACTTTTGAGGTCTCGCTCGAAGTGGGAAAGAAAAAAGTCCTTGTGTAAACTGGAATCTGGTTTACATGGATATTTGCGGAATAGAAAACTTTCTTGCCATAGGGACATATTCCTATTAATGCGAATTAGCTTATGTTCTGATGAGGGGGAGATGATGAAAAGGCTTATCCAGACTGCATAGGTATAGGCATCTTGACGATTTGATAGATTCAAACGATACTTTAGAAAGTACACGTTTCTCCTGGGTAGTAATATTAAAAATGAAGAATGGACATTGTGTTTACTTAGACCTAGGGTGGCTGATAAGGGGTAGGGGAGGGGAGTGTTGCAAAGAAATAAGGAGGAGTAAAAGTCCTTGATAAGCTAACGTGTTCTTCCTGGTGATTTTGATACCAAGATATTTCTTCAAGCTTAAATCTCCGTTACTTACAGCAAATCTTTTCTACACCCTGACTGTCCTGAGATAACATGAACCTTGATTTGTGTGCGTATCAACAACCATGTCACTCTTACTGTGTTGTGCCGCTTCTTACGTATTGTAGCTTGACGTGTAGTATTGTGTGGTCCTTGGGGCCAATGCATGATCCGAGGGTACTATTGCTGCAGCGGGTGCGGAAGCAGCTGAGATGAATTTTAGCGAGGCTGAGCTGGTGGCGGAGACCGAAGCAATAGTGACAATGGTCAAGCCCATTAAGCCGCGCCAAGCATTCTTGTGTCATGATTGGCAGGGGTCTCAGCTGATCTCCGCCCATCACCACCCATCTAGATTATCTAGATTAATAAAACAACAAAACGAACTCGCCACCTACTTCCCTGCACACCCTAAAACCTACATAAAAAGAAACATTAAAACGTCTTATAACTTATTTTTAACTTAAAATAGCTATATAGACCTTATTATAGCTATAAAGAAGGAAGTAAAGCTATTATTTTCTATCTATGCGCTTAAGAATAATACTTCGTATAGATATTTTTAATTAAGGTAATATTTATCTATACTATACTTATCTAAAAGTAGTAGCCTATACCTCTAGTATCTAGATTAATAAAATAATAAAATAAACTTGCTACTTACTAGCCTATACACCCTAGAACTTATATGAAAAGAAACCTTAAAATATTCTATAACTTATTATCAACTAAAAATAGCTATATAGACCTTATTATAGCTATAAAGGGGGGTAAAGCTGTTATTTTTTATCTATGCGCTTAAGAACCACGCTGCGCATAGACATTTTCGATTAGGGTAATATTTATCTATACCGTACTTATCTAAAAGCGGTGGCCCACACCCCTGGCATGCTTTGTTTTACATGGCAAGGGTGCAAGGTAGCTTTACTGCGCTTACTGCGTGGTACTCCAACGCAATTAGCCCTTTTCCTCACACCAGCGATTTGATGGGCATCCTTGTCTGACAGTTCTCGAAATGGCAAGTGTAGAAGTGCATTGCAGGCTAAAGTAGCACGAGTATTACAAGGTACATATAACCACCACTCAAGGAACATGACTACTTGAAGCCACGTCAGCGATACAAAGGCGCGGCATTTCCGACACTCAAGAAGGCACTACTGCATGAACGTTTCGTTGTCTCTTGGTCGACTATAATGCTGGAATGGAAAATACTGGAATAACAAAACTCACCGATTAACAAAACTATCCAGTTCAAACTGCGTAAACTTAATTAGGTGCGATGATAGAGTATTTAACCATCCCATACTATAGCAGCTGACTCGCTACACAAATTCAATACTGGTATATAAAGCATATGTATTCATGTAAATATGTCGCGACGTGTGTGGCTAATAACGAGCAGCTGCTTTACTTCGGCGGTGGCAGTGTTCGTTCCAGTTAGTCCACCAAGAGCATGTCATGTATCCAGGAGTACTACCATGACTAGTCTTTGCACATCGCAATGCACCTCACACCATATTCCATTACTTGACAGGTTTCATTTTATGGGATATCATATTGCAGGAACTAGAGAGCGTGTTCCAGCCTTCTCAGATGTCCCTTACAGAGTCAGTCAAAGGAAAAAAGTTACACCTGTCAGTGGTGCCTATTCACTATGCTTCCTCATTTCATATTCTTCATTCCTCTTGCGCCTCATATGCACCCTACTCCGTCTTCAAGTTCTTCTCCACCCAAATAGACTTAGACCTTGTTCTCCAATCTACGCTCGTCCCTCAGCTTGACCAGCTTCTCAACAGCTTCGTCGAGCGGTACAATGACGCCACGCTGTTGCGTCTCCTGGTCATCACGGTTTCTCCAGTTGACAGCCCGAGCAGCTTGTTCCTCAGCACCGACAACCATGATGAAGTTGTATAGCGCCAATTGCGCTGTACGAATTTTCTTTTGCATCGTGTTCCCACTGATGTCAATGTCTGCGTGCAGACGGTTCTTGCGGAGCACGGCTTGAACTTCCTTGACGTAGTCGTTGGCGCCAGGCATGACAGGAATGACCATGACTTGGCGAGGTGAGATCCAGAAAGGCCATCGGCCGGCAAAGTGCTCTGTCAGAATGCTGTACTCAGTCAGCAAACGCATTTCAAGTTTGATGTACAGAACCAGACTTACGCAATAAAACGCTCAAAGGAGCCATAGATGGCACGGTGAATCATGACAGGTCGTGCATAACCCGGTTGCGGCTCATCAGACTTCTTGGCTACGGTACCATCAGCGCCTTCAGCCTTCTTCTGCTCAGCTTGTCCGCCTTCCTGTGGTTGATCCTTGGCCTTTGTGGGAATGACTTCGGAAGTCATGTACTCGAGCTTGAACTGATTCGGTAGCTGGAAGTCGAGCTGAATGGTAGCACACTGGAACTCTCGCTTGAGAGCATCGGAGATGGTAATGTCAATCTTGGGTCCGTAAAAAGCACCGTCACCAGGGTTAAGCTCCCAGGCGCCGCCACCTTCAGCTGTGAATTGATTCAGTGCTTCGGTCAGCTTTGCCTCAGCTTTGTTCCAGGTTTCAATGTCACCAAGAAAGCCCTCTGGACGGGTACTCAGCTTCAACTTGAATGTGAAACCAAACTTGCCATATACCGCTCTCAGGAAGTCGAACAGGCCTGAAATCTCTTCGGTAATCTGATCTTGCGTACAGAAGATATGAGTGTCATCTTGCTGGAATCTGCGTACACGGGTAAGGCCCGTGAGTGCACCGCTGGCTTCGTTTCGATGTAGGATACCAAAGTCAGCCATGCGAATGGGCAATTCTCTGTAACTGCGCTCACGGTGCCCGAAAATCAGGCAGTGGCCAGGGCAGTTCATTGGCTTCAATGCCCACTTCTCTTTCTCAACATCGAAAGTGAACATGTCTTCCGAGTAGTGTTGCCAATGGCCAGAAATCTTCCACAGCGACGAGTTGAACATGTTTGGTGATCCAACTTCCTGGTATCCGCGGTTCCAGTACTCTTCGCGCAGGAAGGATTGCAACGTGTTATAGATGATTTGACCGTGTGGGAGGAAGAAGCATGAGCCAGGGCTGTACTCGTGGAAGAAGAACAGCTCTTGTTCCCTTCCAATCTTGCGGTGATCACGCTTGGCAGCCTCCTCGAGGAACTTGAGATGCTGCTGCATCGAGTCCTTGTCAGGGAACGATACACCGTAGATACGCTGTAGACTGTCGTTTTTGGCGTCACCCAGGAAGTATGATGCCGAGTTCTTCATGACCTTGAACTGTTTTATCCGGCCAGTGTGTGGTACGTGTGGTCCTCGGCAGAGATCGATGAGTGGTCCGTTGCGGTATACGGTAGTGAAGGTGCCATCGGGAATCTTGTCCTTGATAATGTGCTGCTTGTACTTGTTCGACTTGAACATCTCGAGCCTGATGTACGTCAGATGAATTCGTTACAGACGGATGTCAAGCCTTACAAATCGTCTTTGGACAAGGTCAAACGCTCAAAGACCTGCTTCTCCTTGACAATATTGTTGACAATCGTCTCTAGCGGCTTGTGGTCGGCGTGGTCCACTGCAGCATTGTCCGGGAGTGCCATCTGTCGCATAATCAGCAGTGTCTCTAGGCCTTTGCGATACCACCAACCTCGTAGTAGAAACCATCTTCAATAGGGGGACCGATACAGAGATCGCAGCCGAACCTGCGTTCCGAGGCCTCTCCTAGGATATGTGCGCTCGAGTGCCAGAAGACCTTCTTGCCTTCAGGATGGTCAAATGGCAGGAGCTCGAGCTTGCAGCTCTGCTCCAATGGCCGCTCAAGATCCCATAGTGTTTCCTCCGGAGTGCCCTTGTCTAGACGTGCGACGACAGTGCGCTCAAATAAGCTCTTTGAGATGTTGCGTGCAATGTCGGCAGGGCTGGTAACCCATGATTCGCCTTCAATGTTCTTCCCGTCCTCAAGCGTAATGGTGATTTTCTCTGTCGAAAGAGCAACTGTCAGTACTCTGTGGGGGCGTCTCGTGCAGACGTGAGCAGCATACCGTGGGGCTTTTGAGCAATCTCTTCGTCGTACTTGGCCTTGAGCTTCTCACTGAGGCGTCGTCAGCATGCAGTTTTTCAAACTTGCAGTTTGTGGCTCACAAAATCTCGATACGATGGTCGATGTAGGCTGGCGGAGGGTCAAGCATCAACGGACGGCCATCGCCGGCATCGCCCTTGGCCTTTTTCTCCTTCTTCGGCTTTGGGGCCTTGTTTCCTTTTTCCTCGGCCTTTTGCTCAGCTGAAACGGCCATGTTCTTCACTCCCTCGACAGCCGAGGTGACGGCATCTTTGACGGCGTCCGCCATGTTGCTGCTGCTGTCGAGTCTGAAGCGCGTTGGGCGGATGGAAAGGGCAGTTGTGAGTCAGTCACTGCACAAGGTGAGGTGACTCGGGACGTTGTGAGGATGCAATGGGGCGTGTCGCAAGTGGGAGGCCTGGCGTGTCTCCAAGCCAGTCGGGAGAATCGAATCTGGGTGCAAGGCAACGTCAGACTCATAGACAATTTCAAAAGACTCCGCGCGCACGACAGCCCACTTGGGCTTGGCAGGTGCATTTGGTGGGGGTATGCGGCGGCAAGGATCCGTCGGCAAAACGTGGCGCCGATTGGTCGCGGCTTTCCAACTTCATTTTCAGTTCGAACTTTTCGCGAAGCTCTGGATCAAGCTCACCTTTTGCGCACCGACCACACTCGACACTTCAGAAACAATGGCATTTCGCGGAACTCCTCGTGGCGGTCGCGGCGGCGGCTTCGGCGGACGTGGTGGATTCTCTGCGCGCGGAGGTATGCATGGCACACTTGGAGCTGTACAGGATTTCCCAGCTAATGCGCGACAGGACGCGGCGGAATGGGAGCTTCTTCTTTTGGACCTCCAGACACTGTCGTTGGTATGCAAAGCACCTGGAAACAGCGAGACTGTAGCTGATTTTTCTTCAGAAATGGGCAAATTTGTACACGACTGCGAAAACGAAATGTTCTGCGAATCGATAAACACCAAGATTCCCTACTTCAACGCGCCCATCTACCTGGAGAACAAGGTACATACACTGCGAACACAACAGAAGAGGAGAAAAGTGGGCTGACCCGTCTGCAGACGCCCATTGGCAAGGTTGACGAGATCATGGGCCCGTTGAACCAGGTCTACTTCACCATCAAGCCGCAAGAAGGCATACAGGCAAAGTCGTTCAAGGCCGGCGACAAATTTTACATTGGAGGCGACAAGCTGCTCCCCCTTGATAGGTAAGACGACAGACTAGCCTTCCAATCTGGTGCGCTAACAAAGGCTAGGTTCCTGCCCAAGCCCAAGCCCGTCGGAGGCGTTACAAAGGTCAAGAAGCCCGCTGGTGCAGGCCGTGGAGCACCACGAGGTGGATCTCGCGGCTTTGGAGGCCGCGGTCGTGGCGCACCGCGAGGACGAGGCGGACCTCCGGGACGTGGAGGCTTTGGTGGCCGTGGTGGAGGTCGTGGCGGAAGCGGTGGCTTCTCAAGAGGTGGACGCGGTGGCGGTGGCGGTTTTGGCGGACGCGGACGAGGAGGATACTAAGTGCTTCGGTTTGGGACGACGATGACCTCACCCGCGACACGCTGAAGAGCGCGACCGTTTGCGCTGCTGTTTCGGCCGAGCCTACGACTACCCACCGATACCATGATCATTTGGCGGCGTTTTGGAGTTGCTATGGGATCACTGTTACATGTCGAAAATATGGCGCCCTATGGCGTACATTCTGAGACGAATGCGCGGATTTGTTTTTCTAGCCAAATTACTTCAGTTTACATGTATTCGCAAGGACGGGCAGTTGAATGGGCCTTCAAGATGGTGTGCATGGCTGATACTTGACGTGGAGTGACATGGCGACCACGCTACCAGGCAGGGAGAAGCACCAAAAGACCAGCATGTAGACAAGTCACCAAGACAAGATGCCAAACAAGCATGGAAGGCTGCACAACGTCTCATGTTGATTGCGATCATCTGATGCGTGGTGGAATTGCTTCCTGATGAGCCAGCAGTCGAGGGCGTAAGTGACATGACCAACATTAGCACTCTCAACAGGCGCAAAAAAAGCAATATGGAAAGCAATACTAGGGCGCAGTGATGGCAACGTCACAACTATTCAATGCTCCGAGTCATCCTCGGCGGTCGAAACCCTGCCCCTTTGCCATGGAGCTTCGTGCGGCGGCCAATAAAGTTATTTGCATTGTACCAGCCATCCCGACCCAGCCCAACCTCCTCACCGGTGGTCACGGCCACCCGCGGAAGCATCAACAGCAACAGGTTTTGTAGGGCTTCGGCAACTTGTGCGACTCTCTTACCGCAATTCTTTGCTTTTTCCTCTACACTTTTGCATCTCGAGGAAAGCTTTCAGACACCGCCGGGCTCTCCGCATTCTTCCCCGCCGACAATCTCACGTTGTGTTGACGTACGCCCGTCACGTCACTCCCTGTCTGCGCCAATCCTTACGTCGACGGTACGACGGCGCTCTACGACTCGACAACACCGTCGTGAGGAAGAGATTCCATACCGCCCAAGGTTCCCGAGGTCCTGCGTGATTGAAAAGAACAAAAGAGATATTGCGACGCCGCCAAGTCACTGCATAACAGCCCACGGGAAACACGGCACACCCGCCCAGGGTACAAGAGACACCACGCGGCTACACGAGCGCAACGAGATTCCTATCCTGACACGACCACGACTGGAAGCGCACCTCTCAAAAACGCTCGACCAAGCCCCAAGACTCGATAGACCGGCGCAATGGCGCGCGCAGGACACTCAGGCACGATTGTAGGCTCGGCAGTAGTCGTACGGGAAAAGTATTACTGGCCAGACCTTCAGCTCAACATCTGGACAATCATCATGCTGGTGACAGCAGGGTTGATATTGGGCGTGAATGCGCAGTTTATGGATACACAGAACCAGATGGGGTTGGGAACGCCATGGTACGTCAACATGCTCCGCCTCGACAGACAACCGCTAATACGAGTTTGCACAGGATCATGCCCTACGGCGTCACAGTGGGCGCTCTTGCTATTCTCTTCATCATCATCGAACTCGTCTACATTGCGCAACGCCGACTCCTGCCTGGCATCATGATGTTGCTTTCCTTCATCTTGCTCGTCCTCTTCATCGCCGGCGTCATCGGAACCGCGATACAGCTCTTTGCCGGACCCAACATCAACAACCAATGCAATACCTATGTATTCAACCTTGATGTAAAGGGGCCGAGCCTTGAAACGCTGGCATATTTGCAACAGAAGAACATCTGTAAGTGGCTTTGCTTTCTTCCAGGAATGGAAGACATGGAATGACCGAGTGGCTAATCAACCCGGATTAGGTCAATGTTGGCAGGCCCAATTTGCCTTTTGGATCATTGGGACCGTGTTTCTCATCTGGATGATGGTCATGGCGAGTCAAGTCAACTCGAACGCCTATGTCCGATGATCGGGCGGCCTGGTGTCAACTTCTCTTCTCTTCTCTTCTCTTTGTCTTATCTTTCTAGCTCTATTTTTCCTTTCTTTATTTTTCACAGCTCATACGGGACGTGTCTACGACGGTGACAATGCTCAGTCTGTATGATGTAATTGAACGGCGACAGCAACAGCGAAGGATGCTTGAGGCACAACGGATGAAACGAGATACCAATTGGATTGACGCATAGTAACGAAACAGCACATGCGTATGATAGTTAGCAATAGTCACGAAGAACGAAAGAAGTTATTTCTCGGCGCATAGTATAGCGATGAAAGACGAAGACCCTACGACCATCTACGTAACCAGCTAACCCAGGCACGTGTACTCGGGCCTGCATCCATCCGTCATCTAATCCATCTGCATATTTTCCCCGCATACCCGCAGCACTCTGAACCATGGTTCCAAGGTCACGAGTGCGAGCAAGCCGCTTCCCTTGTTATCATCGCCATGGCTTGCTAGCACAGAAATCCCACGGGCACCACTGCCACTAATCAAGGTTTTGGCCAAGGGTGAAACAAGGCATAAGCGCGCAGGCATGACGATTGCAAAGACAGGCATAAGGTAAAAAGGAAAAAAAATGGTTTTATTACCAGTCAGCAAGATGGCAATGGTACGAGGGGCGGCGGATACGTCCGTATGTGGGTGTAGAGACGATTACGCTGCTCTCCCGTTAATTGCTCCTCGGACCCCCAAGTTAAGCCCTCGAGCACGCGCGCTCCGGATGCGGTGCAAAAGTAACCAAGGGATATTTTCTTTGTCATTTTCTTCTTTGTGCACGACTCGTGCGGTGGTGAGGGAAACCCGCTACGTCATGTGATTTGCATGTCAGATGCCACACAGCCCCGAGCATCATCGCAAAGACGGCCGAACTGAGACACTCCCTTACAGCTTCTCCAAGTCAGTTAGCCCGTTACACCTAGGCGTAAGCATAATAAAAGGAAACAACAGAAAAAAAAAAGGTGCATCCGTTCCGTCCGTTCCGCCCACCAGCCCATCACCTAGTCGACGCCTAAACGACACAATGACGAGGACACGAGACAAAAGTAGCAAAAGGTATCCCGTTTGCGGGCGTTTACAAAACCCCTGTCGCCAAACCAGCCACACTACAACAGCCAAGCGAGCAGGCAAGCAAGCAAACAAGCTAGCCAACCGCCCAAATCGGCGATGTGTGCCACCCCGCCTCCCATGTCATGTCGTATTATTCCTAGCCAATACCCTGATATATCCGCGACGCACGCATCCATGCAACCGGCCAATGGTGTGGCGGATACACAGCCCAGCCCAGCCAGCCAGCCAGCCATCTATCCATACATACATGTCTGCGTATTGTTATCCAAACAAAGCTTACCTCATCACCCGGCGATTCCGTATCGTAACGTATAGAATTCCGTCGGCCGGGAGATACCAATAGCCGCTATAATTTAATACTACTGTTTCTGGTTATGTTGTGCGTATCCACGAGTCGAGGTATAACAGGGAACAACCATAGTAATAACAGCGGCGAATAAAGCTTTCAATACTCGGAATATTGCTAGCGGGGAATATCGGTTACGAAGACATTGGATACTTAAGGGGGGGGGGAATATGTATAGGGAAGGGTGATATTTACTCCACCTGCCTGCCTGATACATGTGCGCTCTAGGCCGAAGGCGGGCTGGTGTGACAGTGGCAATGCGAATGGGAGAAGGGAGAATGATACAAACGCAGATATAGTCTTGATATGCTTGTTTGGATGAGAGTGTGTAGATGAGTTTAGTCTCGTTTAGTTGCGTTGGTGATGGCGATGGTGATGGAATAGCAATGACGATGGTAGTAACGAGATGCGAAAACAGCATCAGGAGCAAGTACAATCATTATACCGATGATAAAACAAGTGTATACACGCTAACAACCAAGTCCTCCCCCACATCTATCAAATTCACACAGCTATAGCTATTTCTCACACTTCATCACAACAACGCATCGCCATTCCCCTCTCTACATAGCTGTGCCGCATACACAGAACCTTATTTATCCTATCCTATCCTATCGCATTACCAGAAACCCTCCATACGTAGTATTCACCCCCTCCAAAAAAATGCGCTATAATATTACATACCTACACGTATTCATAGCAAACACACACACACACACAATACGTAGCAACCGAAAAAATACACGCAACCAATCACAAGTCATGGGAGCAGCGTCGGGGTTCGTCGTCGGGGGAAAACCGCCCGCCCGCCCGCTCATCGCTTACCGAGGAACAAACGAACGAATCAACCGACCGACCAACCGACCAACCAATCAAGGAAGAGGGGAGAAAAAGAGGAGCGGGAAGAAGAGAGAGAAAGCGAAAACCCTAAATCAGGGTGAACAGACACACGTATGCAAAGATTAATAAAAAAAAGGTGACGTGTGAAGAGAAATAGCGTGTAGACTTGATTCGTTGTCTATTTTACCCATTTTACTTATTGATTAGTATCATTTTGGTTTAGGTTTTGGTTTCGGTGTTTCTGAATATGCTAGCTTGCCAGCTGTGCTGGTAGTTAGAGTTTGGCGTCGGGGAGTTGGCGGGGGGGCGATGGTTAGGGTGAAAGGCCTAAGGGGAGAGAGGTGTGTGTGTGTGTGTGCAAGGGGGAGGAGGGGGCTGGAGGGAGAGAGCAAGAGAGATAGAGAGAGAAATGTGGGTGGCTGGGTTGCTGGATTGCTACACTGCTAGAGAGGTTTCGGTACGCACTTACTAATACATACGCATTCATGACACGACAGTGCATTTGATAGGAAATGTTATTTTTGTCGGCAGGGTGGTCATGGTCATGGTCATGGTCATTGTGAGTCATGACGGATACGTCAAAAAATAGTATTAAGTTGCCATGTTTCAATGCGTCGGATTGTTTTTTTGGTCTGCATGGTTCCGAAGGATGCAGGTCCAATGTTCCTCGTGCCTGGCTAGACCGCTCGGTCCTAATCTAAAACTAATGCGCTGTAGCGGTTACTATGCTACGCCGTGCCGATAACAAAGAAAGAAAAAAAAAGCCAAAAAGGAGTTTAGAATACAGTAGCTGAAATAGATGCTAGGATGGAAAATGCTGCTAGATGGAGTGGTACAGAGCGCTTGTATGGTCGCTAGCGCGCAACTGCCACCAAGGGGTAATCGGGCGATGAAAATGGTAGAACAAAACGTAGAAGAAAAAACGTATGCAAGAATGCATGAGGTATGTAGAGAAATCGACATCTTGCCATCCAAAGCCCTGGGCCAGTCAGGGTCTCAGGGGTGGGGTGGGGGGAACCGCCGTAAACGCCATGCTTTTCAAAGAAAAACCAAATCAACAGGAGAAGTTGGCAGCGGTTGCGCATTCCATCGTGGCCGGGCACTTGATGTAATGCACTCACTGTCGTTGTCGTTGTGTGTCATGCCTAAGCGCTTATTAGGGAATATATTCGTGATAAGTGGGTGCAAATGGGCTAGCGCTGACGGTCACGAAATGAGTTCACCGCCGAGTTCCAGGCCAATGCCGTCCAATTTTCCGACACGAGCACGCATATGCGAGTTATCACCAGTGGGAGGGACTATGTTGTCAAAGTTGAGGTGTCTTCGTGCTTCTCGGACGGCAGCCGGGGTCCGGGTTGCAACCGGGGTCCGGGTTGCAACCGGGGTCCGGTTCCATGATGCGTTGGCTTGCGCAGGGCTCGGCGTCATGTTGAGGAACTCGGCAAAGTTGAGGTTTGTCGAGGGCGTCGCCAGGCCAAAGCCCGTGTAATGGGACACTCCGCCGCCCGGCGTCGACATCATCGACGAAGGAAGCGGGGTGGATTTGGACGGGGGAGTCGATGGTGCGAGCATCTGCGGCTTCTGGTGACCGGGCCGGACCGGTGTTGGCGATGTAGCCAGGTACATGAGCAGGTCTGCGTCGCCACCCCCCTGTCTTCCTTCACGAGCTGCGCCGGCAGCATTGAAGCCACGCTGTCGTAGACGTGCTGAACGGGCGACATCCGGGGGCGGTGTGCGTGGTGCTCTCGGGGGCGAGGAGCGGAAGTGGGAGCGGTTCAGCGAGAACGAGGTAATGGGCAGATCTTCGTCGTCGTCTTCGGACAGCAAGGGGGAATGGGGGTCTGCAATCGTCGACGTCTCCGAGACAAACGACAGGCTCGGGACATGCTGGCGGCTGTAACGGGCATGTCGGCGATGGTAGACGGGCGAGGATTCGGGCAGCTGGAAGCTGTTCTTCCACGATGTGGCGGTGCCGGACGATGTGCGTACCTTGACGCGGGCGTGGTTGCTCGATGCCGGGTACTTGCTGGGACGGCTGTAACGGACCCGCTTGGTCTGGCTGTAGCTGCTCCCTGAGCGGCTCTCGGAGCGGCGAGCATGGTCGGAGAAGATGGGGGCCTGGAGCGGGGACGAGTCGAGGATGCTGGGCTGGTAGAAGCGCTCCGAGACGCTCGATACATCCGACATGGCTTCGTTGCTGGAGCCAGGGCGCTTCCGCTTGCGCTCGGCGCCGTCGAGGACAGGCTCAATGGCGTCGAGGCTGAGGCTCTCCCAGCCATTCTTCATCTTGACGTTGGCCAGAGCAAGGCGGTTCTGCAGCGTCCGGGTCATCTGGACAGCACGCAATCAGCACACACACACACACACATATATATATACATACGAGGCGGGCGAGGGAGCGGAGTGGAGGGGAGGGAGATGCAGTCGGTATGTACCTTTGAGACCTGGGCCCTTCGCAGGACCTTTGTCGCAACCTCGTCCTGTTCAGCCATGGTGGTTGAGAGGGTACAGCGGCAGCGGAGAGAGGGAGGGGGGAGGAGGAGCAGTCAGGAGAAGAACTGGCTGCGGAGTGGTGAGGCCTGGCTGACGTCTCAGTAGAGTTGCTACAGGCGAAACAGCATTTGGGCGGAGCTGAGGTGACGGCCGGGCAAGGAATGTGAGGAGCGGATCGAAGGGGACTAGCTCAAAAGTCTGCGGCAGCACAGGCCCCGTGGTGTCGGGGCGACGCAGGCGTAAGGTCCAGTGCAGGTGGTGTGGGAGTCGACTAGGGGCAGGCCATATCCCTTGGTGAATGCATGGCGGGCTGTGATCCGGCGCTGGAGCCGTGGAGCAGAGGCCTGGCAGCAACAGCAACAAGCAAAGGTGCAGGCACAGCTGTCGTGTGCTGAGTTGAGGGGTGCAGGGCGGGCGTGGTAGCAAGCTGGTGCTGACTAAGGGGTATTGTATTGTATTCTATGTATGCGAGCATGGTACGGTATCGAGCGGCTGTTTCAGCGCGCGAGGCCCCGTTTCGCCGCCGCCGCCCTATCTGGCACATGGATGGATGGATGGATGGATGGATGGAGAGTACCAGACGGTACATGCATCCATCCATCGACGCAGCACCAGCACCAGCACCAGCACCGCTGCATGTGCCCGTCGTGTCGAGCTACACCCGATGCGCACCTGACGACGAGGGCCAGAGGGGAGAGAGGTGCAGCATCTGGCGTGGGCGCGACGGCCGGCGCTCACGTGCCACGTGGGCCTTTTGGAATGAGGCTGCCCTGGCGTGGGCCGGCGGCAATCAATGGCAGCGAGGGCCATGTGTGCGTATGTATATATGTATATATATATATATATATATGGGTGAATGGACGCATCGAGTGTGTAGCATGTATGCATGCATCGCGAGATATGGCAGCGCCAGCACGCAGGATTCACGCCGTCTCGATGCAGGCTAGCGCTGGCAGACTAGCCCCAGAGCGCGCTGGCGGCCAATGTCATTACAGTCGGCCGCACGCTGTGCCTGTGTCTGTGCCTCTCTCTCAACACGGCCTTGCAGCGCTGCATCTCGCCCGCCCGCCCAGCCCGCGTCATCCGGACCATCTTGCTGCCATGTAGCAATCATGGCGCAAGTGCAGGCCCCTCGCACTCCCAGTCCCAGTCCCAGTCCTGCGACACTGCCGCTGCCATCCATCGCCGCCCCTCCCAGACCACCCGTTCGGCCCTGCTAGTCTGGATCGACGTTGGCAGGCCCAACCAGGCTATATCGCCCTACCTACCACTATCTTGACGCCGGCGCCCTCTCCACCGTCATTACGGCCACGGCCACGGCCTCTGCAGCTGCCTGCGCCCTCTTCTGACTTCCACTCGCTTGTCCCCCGCGTCCCTCGCCCCCGCCCCAGCAGAGCCATTGCCAGGACCGCCTTCCACTCGCTTGCACGCGCCCTACCGACCCTACACTGACTACCAAGCCGCATTACGCGTCCTCTCCAGCACCCTCGACGAGCTCCACATTCCTCACCTCTGGTCGCTCGCTACCTACCTCCATGATTGCATAGTCCGCCTGCTCTCCCACCGCGCCCCAGTCGACGTTATGCCTTCGTTTCTGCGAAATCTCGGCAGGAGGAACAGTCGCATGGTCAAGGCGGCCGACAGACCGCAGACCAGCACCCACCAGCAGCAGCAGCAGAATGGCAAAGGCCTCGCCCATCGCGCTTCTGCCTCTACCCTAAACTCGTCCCAGGTCGCCTCTTCCACGCCCTCGACTACGCCCGCCACCTCGACCACCGACGAGCTCACCACGCACACCAAAGACGTGACCAATGGCCCCACTCCCGCGCCCGCGCACGCGCGACCACAACGGCCAGGCGTGGATACGGTCAAGCGCTACAGCACCAATGTAGGCAGTTGCGGCACTTTGGTAGAGCCGCCCTCTAACAAGCACATCCAGAGCATGGCCTCGCCCGCGTCCGCCGGCTCCAACGGCTCCTTGAATCGATCGTCCCTGCTTGCGCCTCGTGTCTTGTCGGTTTCGGACAACTCTTGGGTACATGTGAACAGTCGCGCTGGCTCGACAATGCTGACGCTCCACAGGTGCATCAACAGGTCCTGCTCATCTTTGGGCAGGTCGGCGAGCCCCAGAGCAGACCCTTGGACGGCACACTTACGGTTAACCACCACCAGGGCCGCTTCCCCTCGACTTGCTGGCCGGTACACGAGTCGTACTTCAAGGCATTGGTGCATCTCGAGCCTGGCTGGAACAGAATTCGCCTCGACTTCTCCTCGCCCAAAGTCTCTGCTTCCAACACGTCGGTCCCCGCACACGCATCCGTTATTAATATAAACTATCTGCCCTTGACGCACTCGCCGCCCCTTCAGCTCGCCATCATACTTGGACACGATTCTCCAGGAACATATGATGCCCCGCCCGAGCGCATCCAGCGTGAAGGCAATGGGCTCGACCTCGCCGTGAAGAAGTTCAGGATGGCTGCATACCTATGGCAAGCCTTCACCGGCGAGCAGATGAAGCGCTATGGCTTTGGCCGTCGATGCTTTCGTTTCGAGGATGCCTGGGAACCTGGTAGTCTGAGCTACCAAGACTGGGCTGAGAACCAATACCGGACACAGGCAAAGATCCACATTATTCGTTCCAGAAGATCGGTCGCGGAAATCAGGGACCTCGAGCGTGCGCAACAGTACGGCCCGGCAACCAAGAAGAATGAGTTGTTTGACATTGCCATGGAAGCGTGCAGAGACTATTTCCATATTGCGCCAGGCCAAAAGCATTACGTTTCTTGCTTGTTCCTGGACACACACTGGGATACGCAGACACAGACCGTGCGGGGTCATGCGGCCCTGGGCGGCGGCGGCGGTGATCTGCAGCTTGCCATCTTTGGGTCACATGCGCTCCACAGCTACCCGTCGAGCATTGAGGAGGTTTTCCAGGCCTTCCAGGACTGTACACGAACCGATACCGCTGTTGTTGCAAACGACTGTAACGAGTCCGGGAGCAATTGGGAAGCGGCTAACATTGGTATTGGAGCACACCTTCACGAAACGGGCCATCTTTTCGGCTGCCCACATCAAGAGTGGGGTGTCATGTTACGCGATTATGTCACATTAAACCGTACATTCACTTGCCGGGAGCCCTACTCTACTCGAACCAAGTCACCAGGTCAGCGGCTAGTTTTGCCAAACGACGAGTGCAGATGGCACAAATTGGACGTACTACGGTTCCGCTTCCACCCCTGCTTCCGGATACCCATTGATGCCCCAATGGTCAACGGAGACGACAGCGTACAGGTGTGGACCGTTGACACCAGCCAAGGCGGCGTCATTGCAACGTCCAAATCCGGCATTGCCTGGGTAGAGCTCTATACCCAAGGAGACGACGTTTGCCGTCACTGGAAAGAGTTTCCCGAGTTGGATGGCCAGTATCCGCGACAGGTTACGCTGGATGAAGGCTCTCTCCGCGCACTTCTCTCTGCTGATAAGCAAAAATCGCGCCTGAAAGTCGAGGTATTCTCGGCAGGTGGCGGCAAGCATGTTATTGAAGACTTTGGCAAGCTAGCTAACCAGAACCTTGCTCGGGTCAAGTTGCCAGATGGCCGTTGGGGCTACCGTGGTAGCAAGCTGGGTTACTCTCAAATGGAGGGTTCACGGCCAGAAGAAATTGTTTTTGATTATGTTCACATCCAGACCAAACTTCTACTCCGCATAAAGGTGTACCATGGCTACGCTGTAGATGGACTAGAGTTTGTCTACGAGGATAAGGATACTCAGATGTTCGGCAAGCGAGGAGGTAGTGTTTCAGAGTTTGCCTTGGACACACGCAAGGGCGAATTATTGCTTGGCTTCTCTCTCCGAGCTGGTCTCTGGATTGACGGTCTGCAAATCCTAACAAGTCTGGGAAGGAAGAGCGAGTGGTATGGAAATCCGAATGGCGGCAGCGGGTATGTATCGTAACCCCTTGATCTGTTACGCTTGCTAACTTTTCCCAGACACACGCTCATCCCACCCCGTGGCTACACCATTGGTGGAATCTCTGGATCCTGCGCACAGTGGCTTGACGGTTTTTCGCTCATCATCACGCGATGAGATTGCTGTAGACGCAGATTCATCCTTGGCTACAACGTTGGCCCTACCACTTGCCTGACAATGTTTACACAAACAAGACGTTGTTACCATTGGCAGTTTTGTTTGCCTTCCAACAACTGGTTGTGAAAATATTCTGGTCTCTATGCACCTGAAATAGCAAAGTCAGCAACAGCCACAACTCGGCACATTGGAGCAACCTTCAGACTTTCTGGCTCCGTGCCTCTCTCAAACCTTTTTTTGTGTCTCTTGACGCCCAGCAACATATTATACACGGGAGGGCTACAATATATTTTCTCAGCATTAGATGGAAGGGGGGGCTGGAAGTATATACATGGGACCTGTCTTTCTTTCTTCCTCTTCTCTCTCTCCTCCTTCTTCTTCTTCTTCCTGCTTCTCCCTTCTCTACTTGTACTTCTCCACTTCCTATACTATCCTATTCTCTTCTCCCTGCGATACAAAAGAGAAGAAGAAAAGAGAGAAAGAGAGAGAAACACACACACACACACAAATAGTCTAGTTTAATGAGAGATTCTCCGTGATTTTTTTTTCTTTCCTTTGTTTGGTTTGGTTTGGTTTGGTTGTGTTGTGTTGTGTTGTGTTGTTCCTCTTCCTCTTCCTCTCCATTTCCAGTCCATTTTCCATTCATGATACCACTCCTACTTACTCTCCTTTTAATGCTCGGAAGCACTGTTTGTTTCCTCCCCCCCCCCTCCCCGGTTTTATTTTTCTCTGCTCTTTTCCCCCTTTTCCAACTATTGTTTTTTTTTCCTCATTTCTTTTTCCTTTGGTGTTTGCGGTTTCACAACAACAACAACAACTACTACTACTACTACTAGCACCACTTGTTTTCTGGATCGAATTAAGGGGGGTAGGGAGGAAGGAATGTTGCATGGTTATGAGAGAGAGACACACACAGATACATGAGATACATGGGGATGGGGAGAAAAGGGGGTTAAGAGGGTAAGGGGAACATGTCGTAGTTAGTTAGATAGTCGTAACGTACACATATTCAATGGGTTGATTCTTCTCTTTCCTTCTTTTTTTCCTCTCCTCTTCTTCAGTCATGGCATGTAAGCAATTCTGTCATAGCTGTTTGATGATTGACAATTCATGTGACAATAAGGGTATCATGATATTCTATGGCTCTTAGTCGCTAATCGATCATAGCCTCGTCATGGTATCTTGCAACTCTCCCTCTCTCGCTCTATGTCTCTCCTCAACGTGTATTTTCCTTCTTTTTTCTTTTCTTTTCTTTTGCTTCGTCTGCCCCCCCAAACACAAAGCATAGCAGTCAAAGCCAAGTCCGCGCGCTATACTATGGATCATGATGACGACAATAGGAACTTATTACATCATGGTTCCCGACTCACCGCATTTGCAACCACCAAAAGTTCGAGGAAGAAACCGAAAAAACAACAACAACAACAACAACGGCAATGACAACAACAAAGCATTTTTATACCCCCTCTTCCATCAAGGCTTGGGAATCTTGACACTCTTGCTGACCATCAAGCAGCCATGGAGGATGAACATGGCAACGACAGGGTGAAACTCAAAGGCGGTACCTTGCATCCACAAGCCGAGCGGGATCTGATCCATGGTCCAGCCCTTGTAGACCCAGTAAGCCATGACCTGTACGATGCCAAGGCTCATGGGGATCGGGGTGCCTTCAAAGTACTTGCTTTTTCCGGACGCGTCCTTGGGCACCATGGCGACGGTGACGTTGAAGCGGGCGAGGCGGGTGAGGCCGCATAGGACAAAAAACGTAAGCAGCAGGTGGTCGACGGGGGTGCGCAGGCCGAGGCTGAAAGCGGCGGCGGCGGGCGACACGCCAAACGAGATGAGGTCGGCGAGCGAATCAAGTTCTTGGCCCATGAGCGACGCCTTCTTGCGCCAGCGCGCGACCTTGCCGTCCATGAAGTCGAAGAAGAGACCGAGCGGGATGAAGGAGAGGGCTAGGTACAGGTTGGTGTAGTCGCTGGCATCGGATTGCGTGCAGTAGCGGAGAGACGAGAAGATGGACATGACGCCGCAGAAGCCTGGGGCGATATGTCAGTTGCCATGCGCTTTGATTCGGAATTGTATAGACAAAGCAGTGTGTAACGTACCGTTCAGCTCGGTAATGAAATCAGCTAGATGGAGAGCGCGCACGAGAGAAAAGTGCCCAGCGTCCTGGGAAAGCAGACGGACCTGCTTGTCTTGAGCTGCCTTGATGTATTAGCCTTTTTTTGTTCCCAATGCCTCTTTTCTGGCCCGCTCCCCGGCATCCTATACGCACCTTCGGCCTTTGCAGGCGCCATGTTGTCTTTGGAATGCGAGTCGCCGCCGTTTCTGCGCTGTGCCATGCTCTCGTATGCGTGGTGCTGGTCGTCGTCGCTGTCGCTGTCGCTGTCGCTGTTGCCTGTGCCTCTCGCTGCCGGTATAAATGTATGACGAACACTAGGCAGCACGCAACAAAGAGCGCAGGATACCTCCAGCCGCAGTGGAAACCGAGTGAGGAGTAGGCGAAGAGGACAGTCCGGGGGAGGGTAGATGTGTGAGAGCAAGAGAAGAAAGATGTGTATGTGTTGTGTTGTGTCGTGTAGTGTAGGAAAAGGAAACACAGAGAACAAAGCGTCCAGGGTCTAGCAAAAAAGCTTGTTGTTTGGAGTCGCAGCAGGGCAATGGGCGGTGACGTTTGTTTCGGGGGGGGCTTGCGAGGGCCTTTCGGGGGGCTTAGGCTTAGGCTTGGGGGGGCGGCGGCCTTTGGGGGGAGTCTTTGCGAGGGAGGGGGGGGGGGGCGTTCGTGTGCGCACACGCACACACGCGGGCTGCGGCCTTCAAGATCAAGTTTAGCTAGCTAACTAGCTACAACGTCATCTCACATGCCTGCGCCACCTACACGCAAACTTTCCCTCTGTGAACACACACACACACGCACATCACTCTCCCCTCGCCGTGTCCTTGCCAAGGCCGAGTGCCATGGTTTTTTATTGTTGCAGCTTCGGCAGTTGGAGCGGAGCCCTCTTGAGAGTGGTTGCTTGAAGACTGTCGTGTGCACTGGTAGGACATGTGTGTGCATCTGCAACCAACGTCATGAACAAAAAAGTATTATGGATTACAAACATTTTCTAATGACATCAAACGTCTATACCAGGAACGTATGCATCATGCAATGTGCGCCAAGCGCCAGTGCCAGTGCCAGGGAGGTGGGCCAGCAGACACTGCGAAAAACGCCCTTGAATCACATGCTCCCACCAGTTGTCCAATACTCCGTTTTGTTTCAAACGCCCTACTTTCGTCGACTGACCATCTTGGTGATGGCGTGCCGGATAATCGTTCCAGCCTTCTCCGTCTCCTTCTTTGTCAGCCCGCTGGTGACACAGACCTTGAGCGAGGGGCTGGGCTGCCATCCTGCGTCTTTGGGGTTAATCCCTAGACCAATCGGGAAAGACTGGAGTCTTGTGATGAGGACGCCGTTCGCGAGACACTGATGATGGTTAGCCAAAACAGAGTTCCTGCAACCTGCTGCTATCGTAACTCAAGACCAAGACATACCTCGTCAACAACCTCCCTAAAAATTTGGTTTTGATCTTCGACGCTCAGTTTCTTGTTCTCAATGACTTCATCCTTGAGGACAAGAAGCATGACTGGGTTGTCCGCCGAACTGCTGCACCGAACCCAATCGCTTCGGGGATCCAACTGTGCCCTCATCGCTCGGATGTTTTCCCGGAGTGTTGTCAAAATGTCTGGTTGTTCTTGTAGCATGCTGATCGTCTCGCTGGCCGTGGTGCTGAGCAACGCAGGAAGGGCGGCAGAGTATGTGTACGAGGCAGAGGAAATGCGCTGGTGCTCGACGACTTCTTCGTTACCGGCGCAGAAACCTCCTGCAGCACAGAGAGGGCCAGAGAGAGAACCGATAATCATGTCCACTTCAGATGCATCAACGTTTTGGGCTTCGGTAACGCCGCCGCCGGTGCGGCCGAGAACGCCATATGACCAGGTTTCGTCAAGAATGAGGCGGAACTTGTACTTGAGCTTGAGTTCAACCTGCACTCGCCGTTAGTCCAGCCATAGTATGCGAGCGAGGCTGTGGAACCGTCATCAACATACCAGCTTGGGGAGATTGACGACATCGCCAATGTTTTCAAACAGGCCCTCGGTAATGATGAAGCGCCTCGTCAGCGGTTTCTTCGCCTGCTCCTTGACAACCTTCTGAAGCACATTCTCCAAATCGTCCATGTCATTATGTTCAAACCATCTGACCGTGCTCCTGCTGATCTGGATACCCTTGCGCGCAGCGAAGTTGAGCGCTCGGTCGGCAACAATAATGTCTCCTCTCTTGCTGAAACTGGGAATCACACTGCTTATCGTCGAGAAGGATTGTGCGTAGATGATACAGGCAGGGACACCGAGGTGCGCCGCAACGTCGGCTTCCGTCTTCATGTGAACATCTTGCGTGCCGTAGAAGCCCGGAGGACCGCAAGGACCGACGCCGTACGTGCGTAGTGTCTGAATAGCCTTGTCTTTGAGGGTGTCATTGGAGAGGAAGTTGTAGAAGTTGTACGAGGCGAGGTTCGTCACGGTGCGGCCGTTGGACAGCTTGCATTTGGGGCCCGTTGGTCTGCGTTTTCCACGTTAGCCTGGGGCACACGACAAAGGTTCGGGCATGACGCACCCGACAATGACGGGGCGCCTCTCGTTGTCCAGATCCTCGAGCGCCGTCGTGGGAGCGACAAGTGGTTCCGGCGTCCAGTCTTCAACCAATTCATCAATCTCCTATTCTCCCCGTCAGTGTTCCTCGTCGCCGCACCGTGCCCGGGGCTCAACACATGTACGTACCGCGTCAGTGAGCTGCACTTTTTTCTGCGTGCTGTACTTGGGTGCGAGCAGGTATCTCACTGCGAACAGGAACAAGAATAACTCGACGGCGCTGCGGACGGGATCATTGCGGTAACTCGACTTGATGTACCGCACAGCAATGGCGGAGCCGGGAATGCGATTGAACTGCGCATTGGCCTCGGCAACAAAGCGCATAGTAGCATGTTGCAGCTCGCTGAGATCCATGGCTGCGAGACGTGTGGTGAGAGGCAGCCGTGGCAGTAGTAGTGGTGTTGCATGCACAAGATCGGGGGGGCTGCAGCGGTTGTGGCTAAGCGCCAGGGGAACACTGACACGAATCGACGCGCCACGTCTACACCGTCAGCCAATCTTGCACCCCCGCCATGTCCGAAACCTCGGTCGGCCCTTCACGCTGGACATATTATTAACCCCCCAGAAAACAGTCACGCGCGCACACAAGCACCAGTGCACATCGAGTTAGAAGCATTCATATATTCAACAGTAATGCATTCACGTTCTAATATATTCGCCTGCCCATGATGAACCAAAACAACCCCCATTGTAGTAGTGTATGTGCAGACAAGTCAGCCTGGAAAGCAGACACATTTGTTCAGAAAAAGAGAGAAAGCAGGTTCATGGCAACTTGCATGCCTGCCGCCAAACGCCCAAACAAATCAACGAATAAAATGCTGGAGCCGAATATTACAATCATTACGGGACCCAAACCAAGTCGCCACGCTCATGCTTCGCCCGAGTTGTACAATGCAAGGCGCGAAGGTAGTTAAAAAAGCATCCACAAATTGCACTTTTAGTACGCCATGTAGCGGCGGAAGCGGCGAGCAGCGGCGTCGGTCGTGGCAGCGGCACCACCACCGCCTCCTCCACCTGTCGCGTCGACAGCAGGCTCGAAGACGGGGCACGGGCGGCCACCGACACACTTGCCAGTCACACTTGTTGACGTGTCGTTGTTGTTGTAGCCGGTAGGTTGCAGAATCTCCATGGGGAGCTTCGAGGCAAAGTCGGCAGGCAGCTTGATGAACTTTGCGGCGACAATCGGGCCAACGATCAAGGCAAGGAAGACAACGAGAATGACAAAGTAGAGAATGGCGTAGCGCACGACACGGCGCTTGCGGAGCTTCGTCTGCTTGAGCGAGTAGATGGGCGGGCGGATTTGACGACTGCATCATGTTAGTAGAGCTTTGGTAACAGAACGGGAGCAGAACATACCTAGGTCGGAGCCAGAAGAGCATGACCGAGTGGAACTTGTCGGCGTAGGGGATCAGCAGAATGGGCAGCATGAAGAAGAGCAGGACGTGGCCAAGAATGAAGTCGGCAGCGAAGAAACCAAGCTCCGTGATCTTGCAGAGGAATTCACGACCAGGCTGCGAGATTGTGTGCCATCCCATCGTGTACCACTTTCCAGTCCACCAGGCAATGTTGGCAGTGTCGGCCTTGAATTCACGCGTCAACGCCAACGTGATGATGAGCTTGAAGAAGAATCGCTGGATGGCGACGACGGCGATCATACCAGAAAGGGCTCTGGGGAAGCTGAAACCCTCGAGGAACATGAGGACGACGAAGAAGACGAGGAGGACAATGACGGCAATGGCGTGGGCAATGGCGGCGAGGATAGCACCAAACTTCTTGCAGCACATGCTCAGAAGGGGACCGGCACAGCAAGCAAGAGCGAACATGCCAGCCAAGACACCGGCGTTGACACCCACAGGTCCGAGGGCGATGACGAGAATGCGGACCAAGGCACCAGTGGCTTTGGGGGCGGGAAGGTTGGCGTCTTCCTTGGACTTGTCGCGGGCGTCAGTGACACCAGTCTGGGCGTTGATGAACAAGAAGGGAATCAGCGTGATGGCGACAAGGACAAGAGGACCAAGAATCTCGCTCATGAAGATGTTGGTGAAGCGAGCACGAGGAACATCGCCAGAGAGCTTGGCCGAAGGATCACCCAGCGCCTTGCGCTTGAAACCAGTGATACGGGTACGCGAGAGACGGCAGTATCCGATCCACGAGGCGCTATGCGATCGCGTGTTGCCTCGAGACAGCCAGCGCAGGTACTCCCTGTAGTCAATGAAGAAGTCGTCCCAAGAGAACTGGTGAGGGTTGAAGAGGAATGGCGCAAGGCACAGCGACAACAGGGACGCCCAGAAGTAGATGAGCCATGGTCCCCAGACAGTGATGGTCGCAAACAGAAGCATCATCAAGGAGCGGGCACCCAGGTAAATGGATGGACCAGCAAAGCGAGAGAACAGAATGCCAAAGGGGATACGGGCAGTGGCGAAACCACGACCGGTACCAATGTAACGGGCACCACCGTACGACAAGTTGGTGTGCAGAGCATTGGCATAGATCTGTGTGACGAACACCTCGAAGAAGGGCGATCCAGAAGAGAAATGCTTGGCAAGACGGGTCGCGGCACGCCAGAATCCACGCTCAGTCAACTCTTGAACCACGAGGGGAACGAAAGAGATGAAGAACACAATGAAAATGGAGACGATACAACGCGAGACCCAGTCGAAGACGGGAACCAAGTTGGCACAACCATTGGGCCACTGCGGGTCGGTGATGGGAATGTCCTTGTTGAACGAGCAGAGGATGATCTCGTGGTTGAGAGCGCCGAGGTTGATGAGGACGAACATGAAGCACTGGACCGATAGGATAATGAACATGTTGTTGATGTGGAAACCAGGATGGGCGTAGTAGAAGGACAGGAAGCGGTCAAGAGGCAGTTGCGTACCCAGGTAGTAGTACTCGCGGGACAACATCTGCTCACCCATACCAGTACCAATCTTGGTGGTGAAGTTGAGCACGGAACCAAAACCAAGATCACGACCCTTACCACACTGGTAGTACTCGCAGTGCTTGATGCGTCCACCACGGAGGAGAGCGGCCATACCAGCGTAAATATCCTCGTTGAGATGCAGACCCTTTTGCGCCTTGGAGACACCGCCACGAGTCGTCATGAAGATACCGTTGAGGAAATCAGGATGTCCGTAGTGGAGCTTGCCACCGATTTGAGCCAAAGTACGGGCAAACATAGTACCGAACGTCTGTTCCTTTCCGGCAGCAATGTCACCAAGAATACCAATGTTCTCCGAGAAAATGTATTCACGAGCTCCGAGAATGGCGACCGGGTTGAAGTTGGTGTTGGGGAGACCAGGTGTGTAGGGCGAGACGTTGTCAGTGGTCATCTCCTCAAACTCGGCCAAAACGCTGCGAATCTTGAGACACTCCTCGAGATAGTTGTCCTGGTTGGCGTCGATAAGCTGGATGTACTCTCCACGGTAGAAGATGATTGAGTGGTTCTGGTTGTCAGACTTTCCGTCACCGAGAATGGGGTTGCCAGAGAGTTGAATGCGGAACTTGGGACGACGCATGCCATTGTCCATGATCTCAGAGTGACCGTCAATCAGGGCAGAGTAGATGCGGGGCTCGTCACCCTCGTTGACCGGAGGCTCTTCGTCAAGGTAGGCAATCTGGAGATCAGGGTAGGCACGGAGAAGGAACTCGGTGTTCTCGCGCTCCTCCTTGCTGAATTTGGCGTAACGCTGCATAGACACGCAGATCTTGTACTTGCGCCTAGCCATGCGCTCCAATTCACGCTCAAGCTTGTCCGAGTTGCCACCGAACATCTGGACGACTTCGGGGTTCTCGACACGGTACAGGAGCTTGATGGCACGGCTGTAGTTCATGAAACCAGAGATGGTACGGTACAGAGTCTGGGAGCGAAGAGAAGCCCAAATACGAGTTCGGAGTGTGTACTCGGGAGCCGCCGACTTGAAACCAATGCAGTAGAAGGGAAGATCGTCAATCTTGCTCTTAGCGGTGTCCTTTTCGTTCTTCTCGTCCTCGCCGCTGAATTGCGAAGTCTCGTCAGCCAGAATCTTGGTGTCCTTGACGAAGCAGTCCCACTCGTGAGGGTGCAGTTGCTTGAGGTACTCGAGGAGAGTGACACGAGAGTAGGGCTCGTCCTCACGGATAATCTCACGCAGAGACAACAGAATCTTTTCACCGTAGTGGGGAATCAGGACAGTGAAGGTAGGCATGTTGTCGACTGGGAGAGGCTCCGGAATTGGAGTAGACAGCGACTGGGCGAAAAAGGAGATACGACGCTCGGCCTCACTCTGGGCAGGGAAGAACTCGGTCTTGAAGGAGTGATCTTCCTGGGACACGAAAAACGTGGGTGCGCGAAGAGTACGCTTGCCTTCTTGCTCAGAGGGAACCTGGTGGTACAGAAGCTTCTGGACGTGGTCAATGGCCAGGAGATGCTCGCGGTACATAGAGATGACAACGGCGTTCCAGATCTGCGAGATGAGCACCTTGGGCTTGTACTTGATCTCCATGTCGGTCGTCGCCAGCACCTTGGAGTAAATACGCTTGGGCAGACGAGAAAAGATGTTTCGCCAGGGAGTCCAGATAGAGACACCAAGGTAGAAGGAGCGCGAGACGGAGAACAACATGTTGGCGATAATGTACCACAGGTACGAGTCCAGGAAGAAGAGAATCAGGTCCATGAAGTACATGAGACCGAGCAGGATTCGCGGCTGGTACTTGCAGAGAATGTCGCCAATAATCGCGTCACCCAAGCAGTTCGGCTTCTTCATGTGCGAGAGAATGCGAATGGGGTCCTTGATGGACAGAGTCAAGAAGAAGTAAGACTCGGCCAGCTTGGCAGCAAAGACGAGGACCCACAGACCGTACGACATCCACATGTCGTTGCCAGTGAGACGGGGATAGCTGGCAGTAAACGTTTGGCTAGCGACGTACTTGCGAGAGTTGCGCGTCAAGTAGCTGCCAAACAGACCACCAAGAGGCATAATCGAGAAGAAGATGAAGGTGACGAGGGCAATAGCCAGCTGCACACCACTGAGAACATTGGCAATCGTACCCGTGCGCTTGTCCATGACGAAGATGTACACACTGGGAGCAACGTTGACGACGAAGACGAGCAGGAGGAACAGAAGACGCTTGGTCAGATGCTGGGCACCAGCCCACTTGCGCGGCACGTAGCACCATTCGCAAATGGTGGCAGCGATCTGGATGAATGAAGCAATGGTACCTCCCAAGGCGACGGCAGACAGAATGGCAGCCTTCTCTGGTTGCTGGTCAAGTTGTTGCTGGTAGTTCTTGGTGTAGACGGGCTGAGAGTTGGCGGCAGTGTAGAACCAGAAAGCAGACAAGTGGATGACCCAGATACGGTTGAAGTTGACAATCATGTGGAACCACGAACGGCGCTCGTAGTAGGTCTTGAAAAAGACCTTCTTCCAGACGACGTCCTTGAGCTTGACGTATCGCTCAGCTGGGGGAAGATCCACCATGCGAGACTTGTCTTCGAACACGATGCGCTCCAGACCCTCGGGGTACCAGAACAGCTGGTTCATGTCATCGTATCCAATAATGGCCGCGTGGTCACGCTCACGTCGAACGTACTTGCCGTCTTGGATCTCGTAACCTTGGTCACGGCAGTACTGGTAAAGTGGCGTGATGACGTTGTTGAGGTAGGTGAACTCCTCAACGGGCTCAGTCTGGGCTTGACCGGCGGGCGAGTTGAGCCAGTCATCGGCACACTTGAAGATGAAGCACATGAGCTCAGGCATGAAACGGACCTGGTTGGCTTCACCCCAGCACAAAAGGTACAGGGCAATCTGGCGCACACGGTCGTGCTGCGACATGCGGTTCATGCGCGTCTTCCAGCGGTATTCGGCCGCCTCCAGACTGTTGTCGCCCTCGTAGGCGTCGAGCGTCTCCTGCTCGTTACCCTCGCCTCCAGCCGCGGCGGCCTTGGCCTTGGCAGCCTTGCGGGCCTTGCGCGTCCTGCGGTTGGCCTTTCCGAGGTTCATGTTGGCGAAACCAACCGCATCATCGAGATCGAGATGGGCGGCAAAGTACCAGCGGCGGTAGTTGGCATTCTCGCCACCAATGTAGTCAGCGTGGAGCGACAGGAGGGCCTGGTTGGGCGACATGCGAGACGCACGCGAATCGAGCAGCGTCATAAGATGGTCGTACATGTTGCGCATGCTGTCGCGCTGGAAACCGAACTTGGCAGTCAGATCCAGGAAGATGTCCTCAATCTCCTCTTTTGTGCAAGGAATCTGAGCTTCGGTGGTCCAGGCGGGATACGGCTCGCGCGAGCGCTGGCCGGCGGGCAGCGCGTTGGAGTAGTCCATACCGTAAATGGGCGTCGAGGCACCAGACGAGCGGTTGCCACCGTACGAGATTTGAGATGAAGGAGGACGGTAGCCGCGGTTGCCCTCGGCGTAGCTGTTGTATCGTTCGTCGCCGCGTCCGTAGTAGTCCATGTCGGTGGCGCGAGCCATGTCGGAGCGCATGGTGAAGTCGCTGAAAGTCTCAGAGTCTTCCTCGGAGTCGTGAGCTCGGCGGCGGGGCTGCTGGCTGTTTTGTTGTTAGCTAGTAGGTTCAATCGACGCACGCTGGTGCAGATGGAGACAAACTCGTACCCATTCTGAGCGTAACCGTCCTGTGCGCCGCCTTGGTCGTAGTACTGATCCGAGTAGTACTCGTCCTGGTAGCCTTGCTGGCCGCCTCGTTCGTCGTAATAGCCATTCTGTTGGTAGTGACCGCCCTGCTGGCCATCGTAATAAGCACTGCAGTGTGGTTAGCAATTGATCGTCGCGGGCAGAGAAGAGGCGAGAAGACGTACGACTCGTCGTAATAGGCATCGCCGTGCTGGCCCTGGGCGTATTGGCCGTGGCCGTCATCATGATACTGTCCGTACTGGTCGTCGTGGTAGTATGCGTCCTGGCCCTGCTGGGCGTGGCCGGGAGCCTGGCCGTAGCCGTCGTCGTACTGGCCTCCCTGCGGATGTCCGGACATCGTGGGAAGCTATTAGAGTTGTGATGTGCAATCTGCGGGACGAGATGTCAGTTACTGTCGCGGTCGACTAGGGCGCAGGCTGAAACAGCGGGCGTCGGAGGGGGCGCGAGGGCGAAAAGTACCTCAAACAATGGGCATTAGGTTCAGCAGAGACGAATTGGTCGAGGGTCTGGCTGCCGCGAGGTAAAGCAGAAAGGGATTGACTAGTGCTGCAAGAGGCGTGCAGGTGGGTTGAAGGAATGTGGTGGTGGTGGTGGTATTGTTGTTGTTGCTGGCTGCGGGCGCGATGGGGGTGGCGCGGTTGGCGGGCAAAGCGGAGAGATTGTGTAGGCTTTGAGGCTGTTGCCGGGCAAGGGCAAACTCTGTCAGGATGCAGCGGCTTGGCTCGGTCGATGGGGCCTGCTGCGAGCGGGAGGAGGTGCAGACGAGTTTGCGTCGTGGGAGCGGGTTGCTAACGAGCGGATAGCTGGAGGTGCAGCTGGGGGGCGTTTGTGGTTGCCAGGAGAGACGCGCGGCGAACCGGCGCTTGCTCTGCGGGAGGCGGAGTTGGAATTGGAATTAGGGTTGCGTAGTGCACGCTCTCGGCCAACAACGTCGCGAGCGTCGGCAGAGGGCCTTTTTTCTGTCTACACAACCTCGACGCAGCTAATCGAGAGGTGATGCAGCTGGAATGGGACTGTGTAAGGGGGGGGAGGGGGGGGAATGGGGGGGGGGAGTGAGCGACAGTGGTGAATGGGGATGGGCAGGCAAAGAGCTTTTTAGCAGCTTCCCCTGAAAATGAAAGGCGCGGCCGCCAAGCTAGTCTAACGCGGTCAGAGGCGGTGGGCATGGGTGCACCCATCGGCAGCCTTCCTGTGCCGGCTATTGCGTCGCCACTCTAAAACGGCATGCCACGACGACGACTTGTGCGCACTAGCTGGGCGTACACCAGACTAACTGCTAACACGCAGTACAAAGCATGGCCGTCGCCCGCATGGGCGACCCAACAGGAGCCATGCGCCCGCGTCGGCTCCCTCGCCTGGCGTGCACGCCGTGGCGGGCGAGGCGGGAGGTCCATGCCGCCCAGGGCCTGCGATTCCGATCTGCGCACTGGCGATAAAGGCCGCCTCTGTCCGGCTGGCTGGTCGGGCATCATGGTATCGAGTGTCTGTGTAGGTGTTCTCGTTGAGGAGCACGACGGCGACAAAAGCACGACGGCGTGCAGCAGAAGCAGAGGCAGCACACGTCCCTGGGCGCGACGACGATGCCCAGCTGTCAAGGGCCTGTCTGTCCGTCTCGTCTTGCCGGCGGGGTCTCTGTCCCTCTCCCTCTCCCTCTCCCTCGCCTTCTGCTGCCACTATTACCGGTTCTCCCCCCTCTGTTTACCCACTATTACTTGATTTCTGTCTCTCTTCGCAGCATGACTACCTGTTCTCTCTGCATGCACGCACACACGCACACACGTCATGACAGTGCATGGCAGACAGGCGACTAGGCCTGGAAGCGGACTGGACCACGACCTGTAATACGCCCCGCGCTGATCAAACCACGGGCTAGCGAGGCCCTCCCGTGATATGATAGTGGGTGATAGCGACGATAGCAATAGCGCCATTTTCTTATCGCACGGCGCCCAATGGCGACGTGGCGCCCCTCGGCTGCGCCCTGACCGCGAGCCCCAATTAGCCCTAGCCCTTAGCCCAGGTCAACGGTGCCTGGCGGCGCCGTGCAGTGAGAGCGAGAGAGTGTGTGAGTGCAAGTGTGTGTGAGAGTGAGTGCAAGGCAAGGCAGGTGCGAGGCCAAGGGGGCGGCTAGCTACTAGCAGCTAGCAGCAGAGGGTGAAGGTGCAATGCGGGCTGCTCACTGTTGAGCCAGTCGTGTCCCTTCCCGTCCTGTCCTGTCCTGTCTTGTCCTGTCGTGCCTGCCTGTCTTGCTGTCACTTCACTCCCACTTACTCCGGCCGACCGCTCGTCGTCCGCTCTCTCCGCCCTCGGCTGCGCCACCATGGCCCCCCCATGCATGCCTTCGGAGCGCCTCGATGATGCACATGCACAAATTGCTGCTCCTGTTCCCTTTGCTTCTCCAGCCTGCATTGCACTACACACATGTACTAGTAGCACTCGTCTTGTGATAATGTATACCTCACCGTCTGCCTACACCTACACGTCTACACCTACACCTACACCTACACCTACACCTACACCTACACCTACACCTACACCTACACCTACACCTACACCTACACCTACACCTACACCTACACCTACACATACCCCCCATGATACCTCACCGTGCATGCTCACCGTCTACACCACCACCTCACCACCCCCCAGTGACGTCGCCGCACTCCAATCAAAGCCGACATGGGGCCTGGCATGCCGTGAGCTATATTAGACTGCCCACTTCCAAGTTTGGGCGGTTGGGAAGCCTGGCAAATGAGCGGCGCTGCAGAAGCAACTATCCGGCACTCCGGCCGGCCGGGAGGCTGTGCTTGTGCTCATTGTTACGCCTACACCTGCACCTGCACTCACCCTCACCCTCGCACCCACGCGCGCGCTGTAGATCCTGTTATCTCGACGACACTGACACACTACCGCTCTTCTCCTCCTCCTCCGACCGCCATCCATATCTCCCAAGCACCATCGCATTCCATCACAACATGTTCACCGCACCCCCGGCGGCTGCCAACAAGAAAAAAAACCCGTCGTCTCGGCGCATGGACGTTTCACCGCGGCCATTCCGTGCGCTCCTTGCATGGCCGGCCCTCACTCGCACGCAATTGTACGGTAATATAGGAGAGGCAGAGAGGCATGAACCATCCCCCTTGCCACTGCCCAATGCAGCCATGGCCTTGCCCCAAGTCGAGCACATTGGCCGATCAGACGCCTGCTAAGAGCGGCGCTGCAAAAGGCTCCATTGGCCGCCTCGACGCCTGCCGCCCCCGCCACCCATCGCCGCCGGTTTCAGCTGTCCCATGTTACGCGTCCAACAAATTCCCACGCGCCGGCCCCTCTCCCTGACACGCTCACCCCCCCATGGTGCAACCGCGCGTGCACTGCAATCCTCAGACATAAAACCGAGCCTCCCTCGAAGCTTTTTGCCACGGCCGCTCGCCCCGCTGTTTGGACTCCCGCCCACATTGGCCAGCTTCCTTTGTTCTCGCAAATCCACCACGGCGGACCGCGGACACGCAGCTGGACGGGGGGACCGCTCGCCCTCGCCGCGCCATCGGGTCATTTGCAACCGCAGGCTCAAATTTAGCAGCATGATGCGCGGTGGTGGGGCGGCTGGCGAATCTCAGTCCGCGTGGCTGTGAAATTGTGCACACGCGTCGCACATGCACAACTCGCTCCCACCCCCCACCCAGCACCAGAGCCTTTTCTGTCGCATGGTCAGACGCTTTTGTCGCGAAGCCTTGCCGAGCATCGTCGCCCGAGAAAAACATGCTTCTTGTCAACACCAACGGCTGTCTCGCAGCCTCGGCGCGGCCAGCTTGACACCCTGACAGGCCGCGACCCTCTTGGGCCCGCCAAGGCCCGCTGCCAAGCCTTTGACCCGCGCACACGCACCTAAGACGAAACCAGGCTAGCATCAGGGGTACGCTGAGAGCCCGCTGATCGGTCTTGGTATTCTTGGTAGGCCTTAGATTTCTTCACTCGTTGCGCTTCAGACTTGTTTCTACCCTCACCTTTCTGTTTTGCCAGTCACTCGCTATCTGCTTAAGTTGATTGCTTTTTGCATACAGCGCCTTTTTGCTGTTGCGTCACACTCTCTTGAAAACCCCCCCAAGTTGTGCTTTGCCAAACATTTCCAAGTCGCCCCCCTTCACCGTGACTCTCGGCGGTTCAACCTAAGCTCCTGCCAACCCCTACTACGCATCTTGGAAAAGCTCTTGTACTCGGCCTATCGATATGCGTGGAATCATCGCTACCACGGCCCTGCTCGCTGGCGTGCAGGCGGCCGTTGACCCAATCGTTATCAAGGTAACCCAGACTTCACGTGCCCCGGCCCGATAGTCCAGTGTCTCATAGTTCTCGCAGGGCCAGAAGTTCTTCCAGAAGAACAGTGGTGAACAATTGTAAGCAACACGTACCCGAAGCCCTCGGTAGCCATGCTGACAGAATGCCAGTTTCATGAAGGGCATTGCCTACCAACGTACGCCTCCCTCAGACCATGTCTAAGACTATCAAGCTCACAGCAAGCAGAGGAAGTCAGCTCCAACACCACGGCCACCTCGCCCAATGACATCAACATCACCGACCCCCTCGCCGACGGCGACGCATGCAAGCGCGACATCGCCATGATGAAGAAGCTCGAGACCAACACCATCCGTGTCTACGCCATTGATCCCAAGAAGGACCACAAGGACTGCATGACTCAGCTCGCAGACGCGGGCATCTACGTCGTGGCCGACTTGTCGGAGCCTGGACTGTCCATCAACCGTGACGACCCCAGCTGGACCGTCGACCTCTACAACCGCTACACCAGTGTTGTCGACGAGATGATGAAGTACGACAACACGCTCGGTTTCTTTGCCGGTAACGAGGTCAGCAACCAGCCCAACAACACCATTGCCAGTGCCTTTGTCAAGGCCGCTGTCCGTGACACAAAGGCCTACATCAAGAGCAAGAACTACCGTGAGATTGGTGTTGGATACGCCACCAACGACGATGCCGCAATCCGTGAAAACATGGCCAACTACTTTGACTGCGGTGACCCAAGCACCGCCATCGATTTCTTGGGCTACAACATCTACTCGTGGTGCGGTGACTCTTCCTTCAAGGAGTCTGGCTACGACGTGCAGACCAAGAACTTTGAAAAGTACAACGTACCCGTCTTCTTTGCCGAGTACGGTTGCAACACTCCTCGCCCCCGCAAGTTCACCGAGGTTGGTGCGCTTTACGGCAAGGACATGGTTGGCGTCTGGTCTGGCGGTATTGTCTACATGTACTTTGAGGAGGAGAACAAGTTTGGTGAGTCTGGTCTGTGTAAAACGCCCCAATCTCTCTACTGACATGCTCCAGGTCTCGTTTCCATCAAGGACGGCAAGGCTGTGCCCAACCAGGACTTTGACAACCTGTCCACTCAGATTGCCAAGGCTAGCCCAACCGGTGTCAAGATGTCCGACTACAACCCCTCCAACACGGCCGCTGCTGCCTGCCCCAAGGCCACCCCTGGAAAGTGGGAGGCCGAGTCGGACCCTCTCCCTCCTCCAGCCAACGCCAACCTCTGCTCGTGCATGATGGAGACTCTCGATTGCGTTATTCCCGACAGCACCGCCGAGAAGGACTTTGGTACCATTTTCGGCTTCGTCTGCGGTCTCAAGAACGGCGAGTACTGTGCCGGTATCAACAAGAACGCCACCGCCGGCCCCTACGGTGTCTACGGAATGTGCTCCAACAGGGAGCAGCTGTCTTTTGCCGCCAATGCCTACGCCAAGAAGAACAACGGCGGCTGCAACTTCAAGGGCAAGGCCACCACCAAGTCTGCCACTCCCAGCCCCACTGCTTCCGGCTGCTCTGCTCTCCTCAAGCAGGCTGGTGCTGAGGGTACCGGCACTGTTTCCGGTGCTGCTGCCGCTACTGGCGGCTCTGCCAGCGGCAGCAAGAGTTCTGGTACTGCCTCTGCCGGCGCTGCTTCTGCTCTCTCTGCTTCGCAATTCTCTAGCGGTGGCTTTGGCTTCGGTCTCTACATTGTTGGTGCCGTTGCCTCGGGCATGGCCATGATCTTGTTGTAAGTAGTAGGAGATTGAGCATGATCAAGGTTGCATGGTTGGGTTGTCGGTAGGACTTGCCATTTATATCCTTGCATGGGTTGCGTGGGTTTACGCTTTATTCCCCTTTGTGTCGTGGTTTGTTTTGTTTGAATCGGCCTCACGAGTGTCGTCAAGTGTAGATTTTGTCCGTCTTTTTGCAAAAAATTGTAATGTTTTTGGAAACATACACATGTACACTTTGTTCAAAGTGCAAGTGCATTGGTTGATGAGTTATCGATTTAATTGTTCCATCTGGCGGGCATCCCATGGGTATGTGTTAGCCAGAGTATTACCGATGGATTATCCTATCACTAATCATATTTCATTGCGTGTGGTTGAACACTGTCCATCTTTTTCCAAATCGCTGTAATAACAAATGTCTCGATTGTTGAACCCCGTTGGTTGAGTGCTATGCGCGCGGCACTGTTGTCCCAATACGCCTCGACACCACACGGCCTATCATGTACTAACCCCATTTGTACCACTGTAACTATTGAGCCTATATACGCGTGGTACGTGAATTAGGTCACCCCATATACCCACACATCTCACCACCTGTGCGGTAGTCTGCGTCCATGCAGGTAAACGTTTACTAGGGTATGCTTGCCTGTTTGGAGGGCATTGGGTTTTATTAGGTGCAGGCAACATGCATGGGTGCAAAACGCTAGATATATTGAGTACCAACGGTTTCTGAGATGCGGGGTCTTGGCTGAGCACGGCGCTTGGGCTTGGGTGTTTGCGAGAGGGAGGGGTTTGCTTGTAGACCGGTCGATGTGCCTAGAGTAGCCTCTGACTTCTGTACCAGAAGCTACATGTCCATGTGCACCCATGTTGGAGGGGTAGCTGGTGTTCACGAGATCGAACCACTACCCCACCACGCTCATTGCACTGATAACATCCCCTCTGTCGCACTATGACCAGTTGTGTCTTGTAAAAGAAAAGGACTCATCCGTTCATGCTCGCGCGTGCGTTTGGAGAGACTGTGCCGTTTGCCTTACCCATCCACCGCTTCCGCTAGCACTGACGTCATATGACTGTCCTTGGAAAACATCCTTCCGGACATTGCACCTGACCCAGATGATGCCTGCAACGCCCATGCACGAAATAGCCTTGTTTTGCCCTGATCCACGCCCTCGAACCAGAAAACCCTTCCTGTAGACTGCTTTTGACCCTTCCGGAACGAGCGCTGTGTTGAGGTACTTGGAGATCCAGATACCAGCGAATACCTCGGCGCGCTAGAACCCAAGTAGCGTCCAGCAGCCAAAGTCAACATGAGCCGAACTACCTCTCCAGCTCGGCCTACTGTCGATCACTTGCGAGCGATCGTCAACAGTTACCCCATCATCGACAATCATGCGCACAACCTTATCCTACCTTCACACATAGACACAATACCATTCGAAACCATCACCACGGAAGCACAGGGAAGAGCCTTGAGAGACACGTTCAAGTCGCTTTCCCACCTACGAGCAGCCAAGCAACTGCGCCAGCTGTACGAGTGTGGAGAAGATGCAGACTGGGAAGAGATCCTCGAACAGAGAGTGGAATGGCTCCGGAGCAACTCTGAACGCCTACACCAACGGTGCTTTGAGAATGTGCACGCGATACTCATTGATGATGGGCTGGCTTTGCCAGACAAGGTCTTTCCGTACAGCTACCACGACCGCTACACAAAGGCGCCCACCAAACGCATTGTGCGCATCGAGACAGTGGCCGAACGGCTGATGGAAAGCCTCCTTCGGGATGCCACGGAAGATGACCTGATCAAAACCAAATTCCTGCCCAAGGTCTGGACGAAATTTACAGAAGAATTTGAGCGAGCAATGCAGGATGCCGTAGAAGACAATAATGTCGCAGGCTTCAAGTCTGTCATTTGTTATCGAACCGGTCTGGATATCGAGCCTGAATACGAAGAGGCTGCAAAAGCAGTGGGACACCCCTTTGAGCGCTACGTCAAGAATTGCATCCGCAAACGAAGCTATCGCATTGAAAAGAAGCACCTCAATGACTACCTGGTGCTGCGAACCCTGGAGATTCTTTCAGAGCGACTGCCACACTCGGATTCACTGGCAAAGCCGTTTCAGCTACACACTGGCCTGGGCGACAACGACATCAACTTGCTAGAATCGAATCCTGCCTTTCTTCAGCCGTTGATAGAGAATTATCCACAAGTGCCTTTTGTCATCCTCCACTCGGCATATCCCTATACGCGCGAAGCCGGCTACCTCGCAACTGTCTATCGACATGTGTATTTGGATATCGGCGAGATTTTTCCCATGGTCAGCAGAGACGGCCAGAAGGAGGTTTTGCGACAGGCCTTGGAGCTGGTCCCTGGAAGCAAGCTCCTTTACTCTAGCGATGGTCACTGGTTTCCTGAGACGTTCTGGCTCGCCAATATCCAGTTCCGTGAGGCGTGGCTTGAGGTAAGTTATCTGCTAGGTTGGGTTTGGACGCATATTGACCATGGTAGCTGCTTCTCGAGTACGTTCAGAAAGGAGATCTGACTCCCCACCAAGCCATTGGTATGACAAAAGATATCATGTTCAACAACTCCAACGTCCTTTACGACCTGCGCTATGAGGCAGTTTTTGACGAAACCGTCCAGTTGTCGCCGAGACAGCTAACATACAACATGAAGCCCACTGGAGTCCCGCCGTATCAGCCATCAACAACACCACCAGGACCTGGTATGCCTGCATTCGACCAGGCTGCGACATCTGGGCGTGCCAGCCGATCAGCCTCTCCTTATGTACAACCAGCTTTCCCCCCACCACCAAAGGTGCCGCAGGTATACGACCTGCAGGTGCTTGAAAACTTCAAGCAAGAAAACCCCGGAATCAAGTTCATCTACGTGCAATGGCTAGACTACATGGCCACGGTCCGCAGCCGTATTGTTCCTATCAAAGAATTTACGCGTATGATTACCGAAGGCGAGCGCATAGGTATATCACAGGGCAACACTGGCACTCTGCAAAACGATAAGCCAACTCCAGTCATGAACACTACTGGACAAATTTATGTTGAGCCTGACTTGCGCTCCCTTCGACGAACGCACAACAAAGACCCTCTTCCAGCTGCTACGGTGCTCAGCTACTGGCGCTCAGAAAATGGCTCTGCCCTCCCGGAAGATCCTCGCCACATTCTGGAGACACTGATCAATGGCCTGCAATACAACTACTCGACGACTCTTCTGATTGGATTCGAAATTGAAGTCACGTTCCTCTCCAGAAACCCGCCCTCATCATCCACCAACCCCTTCCAAGCGGAGCCCTACTCGCCGATAACAAAAACACACGCATGGGGTACCATGACGCCAGAACAATGGGTCCAGCTACCGTTCCTGAGCGAAATCGTGCTCGCCCTCGAAGACATGGGCATCGAGATCCAGCAATTCCACGCCGAATCCGGCCAGGGCCAATATGAATTCGTGCTGCCACCGCAGCCGCCTCTACTGGCCATCAACACGCTCATCCAAGCTCGCCAGACAATTGCCCAGATAGCCAGTCTACATGACCTGCGAGCAACTCTGCATCCACACCCGTTTGACGGCATCGGCACCGCGGCTCACGCCCACGTTAGTCTGCACCCGCCAGACCGCGACTTGCAGTTCTTTGTCGGAGGCGTCCTCCGCCATCTCCCCGCCATCTGTGCCTTTAGCATGCCGCAGGAAGTCAGCCGAGGGCGCGCAGTTCCCAGTGGCCGGGGACGATGCGGCGGAGGGGCGTTTCGCGGTTTTGCGTGCCCCATGCCACCTGTTTTGTGTTGTTGTTGTTAGAAGAATAGAATAGAATAGAATAGAATAGAATAGAATAGAATAGAATAGAATAGAATAGAATAGAATAGAATAGAATAGAATAGAATAGAATAGAATAGAATAGAATAGAATAGAATAGAATAGAATAGAATAGAATAGAATAGAATAGAATAGAATAGAATAGAATAGAATAGAATAGAATAGAATAGAATAGAATAGACAGAATAAGGGAAATGTTGGCTTCGGTATTGTATGATTTTGGGGGTGGAGTGTAGGGAATGTACGTACCCATGTCCCGCCTGTCCAGGCATCGTCCTTGACCCGGGCGTAACGGCACGGCAAACATGTACTTTGCGCTGTCGGCGCTGCTCGCCTCGGGTCTTGTCGGGCTCGCTGCAAACGAAGACCCAGCCCTGTATCCCGAAGGCGACGTCGCTGTGAATCCCTCGACGCTCGACGACCAGGCCCGCGCTGCGCTGGGCGTCGTGCATGCGTTGCCGCGTAGTCTGCATGAGGCGCTGGATGCGTTGGCGCGGGATGCAGCGTTGAATGAGGCGTTGCCGCCGCCGTTGGTACGGGATTATCTGCGCATGAAGGCGACTGAGGGCGACATGTTGGCGGGTATGTCGGAGGGTGAGCGGAGGGTGTTTTTGATTGAGAGGTATTGAGGCATGTGCATATATATCCTCTTTATTTCTTTCTTTCTTTTTTGAATGATAGGAATATGATGATGATGATGATGATGATGATGATGATGATGACGATGACTTGTTCATTTGCTTTCTATGACTTGACCATGTATTCAAGCCGTGCAGAACGGAACTTTAGTATGTAGATGAGAATTGATTTCTGCATTCCGCTACTTCACTATATACATATTCCGTCTACTTACTGCCTTGTAAAAGGCCGTTGCTGCATCAGCACATCAAAATGACTCGTAGATCAAACAAACACATATCCCATAGCATGCGCATAACACGCACAAGACAAGACGAATATATCTAAATCAAGCCCAAAGCCTTGATCCTCGCCACCAAGGCCTTTTCCCTACGATCACCCCCCGCGTCATCCTGCACACGCTTGGCATGCTGAATCAAAGCGCCTCTCCACACCCAATAGCCATGTTCAATCTGCCGAACGACGTGCTCGCCCTCGACTCTGGCAACGAGATGGCAGACCCAGATCAAGCGGCGGGCGCTGATGAAGCGGTGTTCCATCATGGGGCGGGTCATGGAGGCGCGGACGACGGCCTTGGAGAACAGCGGACCAATGGGTAGAGCATGCGCTTGCAAGTGTCTGTAGAGGTAGTAGATTGCGCGCCAGGATTCGCGGTGGGAGCGCGTGGTAGTGAGGGAGTAGAAGTGTGCGAGCTGGTGGATGAGGATTGAGCGCTGGGAGGGGGTGAGGTTGGTGGAGGAGAGGTTTGCGTAGATTTGGGGGAGGGCATGGTTTTGTGCGGCACGGGTGAGGATCTCGGTGAACTCGCGGTGGGCCTGGAGAGTGCGGGCGTGGTGTTTGGCTGTGGAGAGGGAGGGTGTAGGGGAGCTCGGGCTGAGCTTGGAGACAAGGCTGAGGATGCGCTGGCAGGTGTGGAGGGTGAAGGCATGACGCTGGCGTGCGCGCTCGTCCATGGACTTGGGGTCCTGCGTGCTCGAGAGTATCGTCTTTGTGGCTAGAGACTCGATACTCGAGGCGTTGTTTAGACCGAGTCCTTGCTGGCTCAGCGCAGACAAGAAGCAGTACACAGAATGCAGGCTTGCATGGCGGGCAAACACGTCTGCAGTGACATCTATCAATGCCTCATACGGCAACTTCTCTCCCCGCAGGCGCGAAAAGACAAGTCCCAGAGTTGCCTCAAATCCAAGAGGTTCTGGCTGCGCACGTGCGAGTGCAATACAGGCATAGGTGAGCTGTAACATCCGTTCTCTGACAGTTACATACGACGTTTGCCGTGTCAATTGGAATGCCAAGACATGAGTCAGTAAATGGCTCTGCATCATGCCAGGATTTTTGCCTGTGAAGATGTGCTTTGTGACGGCTGCAATGGCAGCTTCGAGCAACGCCGTGCCACCCTCATCCGATGCCGATGGCGCTCCAAGACCCTCCAAGACCATCAACCATGCATCCAGACGACGCGCATAGATGTCGCCCGGCAGCTTGTTTTTCCGCTCGACAGCTGTGGCTAGAGACAGGGTAATTGATGGGACAATCGATTCCAGGCGCTTTGGCGGGAGACAGGAGAGGACCTGTTCTACAGCGGCACAGACACTGTAGTCTGTAGCAGCGCGTGCAAGAAAGAGGTTCATGCATTGCTCTATAGTATTGGTGCCTGTCAGGATGGAGCGCAACGACTTCCGGACATGGAGGTTTTGGATCTTGTCGGCAACGGCAACCAAAGACTCTGCGACGGAGCGTTTGATCTCGTTGGTCGATGCAACAGCGCCGTGCAGTGCCAGGCGGATTATAAGGAGAAGCTCGGCGTCCTGTGACGAGCTTCTCGAAGCCTCTGCAGACTTGGCCGCCTCGGCCATTTTCATGCACACGCGATGGTAGACTTTGGAAGCGTGGAGAAAGCGTGCCCATGACTTTTCCAAACAGTTGAGGAGATACAGGCTGTGCAGTGTGTATGTAGGCGGGGTGTGGAATGCCTTGAGCTTACAGAGAATGCTCGTGGGATCCCAGCCAAGTTGGTTCAAATGCTCGACTACCATGGTATTGTACACCCACGCATCGGGATGATCTGGGCGACAGGACCTCCAGGTGGTGGCAAGGAGTCTGCTACGCTCAGAACTAGACAGGTCCCCGGCATGCGCGACTTGGGATTTGAAATGGTCAAAGTGGGCTGTATGCACGCCAGTTTGGTCAAGGTCCCCAATTGCATCAGTAGCAGGTTCTGGGCTCTCTTCTAGGCCGTCTGATTGTACACGTGCCCCGTGTGTTTGTGATTTTGTCTGGTCATAGGATTGCGAAAAAGGATTTGGAAAGGCGAAGGGGTGGGACGAGGCAGAAGCGGGGTGCTCCTCTGGTATGCGATGGGATGACGCTACTGGCAAAGTTGCAGGCGGGTGGTTCGCTACTATTGTCAGCAGGATAGGCCATGATGAATTGGATAGACATACGTCGATCGAGTGTGTCGGCACGCTGCTGCAAGGTGGGCGCTTCGTATCTCCAGGTGGGCTGTGTGTCTTTACGGAAGCCAAACAAGGCACCCAGATTGAACAGCGACGAAAGATGGTCTGGGGGGTAGAAACCCGCCGAGACGGTCATGCGGCGTTTGGCAGCTCTCCTCCTAGCCTCCAATGGCCCCGGGACATGGCTGCCATGACGCCTCTGGTGCGGGCATGAGCTGCGGAAAAATCTATTGAGGGCGAGGGCGAGGAGGTCGTCGGAGATCCATATGTGGTGAGGGGTGGGCAATTGGAGCGATTGCACTGCTCGGCGGCAGGCAAGGGGCGGACGGCGCATCAAGCGGGGTGCTGGTCATGGAAGTGTGGGCGCAAGGCTTGCCGGGCCATGGAAGCTCACGTCCGGATCGGGAAGCCGGCGATGCACGTGACGTGCTGACTAAGGAGGGCCACGGAGGGCAACGGATTGGAGGGGTGGATGGTTGAAGGATTGGAGGATTGCATGGTGGCTGGCACTATCCAGGCTTGGGCCTTGTCGGCGGGGTTATGCGACAAAGCTGGGGAACTGTGACACGGCGAGAGGTCTTGGATGGAGCTCGCTTGACCCCGTGTCGTATGCGCTCGAGGCTGGAGGCGGGCTACCAAGACGAGTTTGACGGGTGTCTAAGCTGCCCGTCAGCGGGTTCGTAGGCTGTGAGGCGCAGCCGTTGAGCGGGGAGATAAGCATTTTTTCACGGCAGCAGGCAGGCAGGCAGGCAGGCAGGCAGGCAGGCAGACAGACAGCAGCACGAGACATGGACATATGGATGTATACGTGATGGGTGTATACTAGACAGTGGATGGGTGATGCGGCAATGGCATGCTTGGGCGCGGCCGGTTGGTCGTGGGCCCGGATAAGGCGGCGGGCGATGGCTTGCAGGCAGTTTAATGAGGGCCGTGGGCGTGGCGTGGCAGAGCGACTGGTTCGGTGGTCGGGGGGCCGTGGTGAGCACTCGCGCTCCCAACACGGCACACGAGTGGATCGCGCAGAGGTTCTCGGCCATGGAACCATGCATGGGCGAAAAAGCATGGAGGAGTGGGCGTGGGCGTGGGAGCGCTCGTCTGGCGGCGGCGAGTCTGGCGGGCATACTGACTAGGTGCACACTATACAGCAGCAGCACATGGGCGATATTAATGGCTACATGGTGGATGCATGGGGCCAGCAGCCACCGAGGGCAGGCGCAAGACCGCGCGGTCGTGCCTCCCCTGACGCGCCCCCGGCCGGCTGCTGGCTCTGGTGAAACGCTACTGGCTGGGGCGCCAGCCAATGGCGGCGGCGTGCCTGGCAGCCCGGCGGGGCGCGCTATGCCCAAGCCGGCCGGGGGCGTGACAGCGGCTCGACGACGTCCTTGTGCGCGCGCCGACGAAGGCGAACATACACACGACGCCAGACGACACCATACACACGACACGACACGCATCGCATGCACTGCACTGCACTGCACTGCACTGCACTGCACTGCGCCGGCTGCCGTCTGTCGCGCCGGCTGCGCTGGGCACTGTGGGCGTGCCGACGACACCCAAGCATGTGTCTGACTGCCGCACGTCGCCGCCGCCGCGCGCGCTAATTGCCAAGGCTGGCCCACGCTTGCCTGGGCCGGCTGGTGCAGGTGCTGGTGCTTGTGCATGCCCATGCCCATCCCGACGGGGGGCGCCCTCTCCTTTGCTCTTCACCTGCGATCCACTTCTGTCAAGGCCCGAGCCTCCTCTCGTTTGTCTGCTTCTTGTCTGTCAATCGTCAAAAACACTCCCACCATCGTTTTGCCCACCCACCACCACCACCACCCCCCCC